TTAATATTTAAAAAGATTTTCTCAAGCCCACCTTCCCTAATAATTTTAAAATCAAGCCCAGAGATATTAAATTTATAATTAATGAAGAGGAAATATCTGATTTACCAATTAGTCAACAGGTAAAATATATTACTTTATAAAAAGAATAACATAAGACTAACATTTAACATGAAAAAAATATCCAAGCATCCAAGACTAACATTTAACATTAAAAAATTCCAATATAGGTTCAAGAAAAAAGCATCCAAGATCTTAATATTTAAAAAGAATTTCTCTAACCCACCTTCCCTAATAATTTTGAAACCAAGCCCAAAATTTATAATTAATGAAGAGGAAATCTCTAATTTACCAATTATTCTACAGGTAAAATATATTACTTTATAAAAATAATAAGATAAGACTAACATTTAACATTAAAAAATCCCAATATAATTTTGAGAAATATTATACTTGATAAATAAGAGAATGTTCTATTTTGTAGGTCCTCGCTATCCCTAGTGTGTTTCTTTTTTTGATTGATCTGCCATCTTTTTCTTTTATTAATGACGGAATCACCACCTGTAAAATCATTAACTGAGGTTAGGACATGGCTTGTTATCTAAAATAGAAACAAAAGAATAAATAAAAAAAATAAATGCATTGAACTTGATGAGGAGTCAATATACCACCTGTACAATCATTAAATATGGGTAAGACAGGGCTTGTTATCTAAAATAAAAACAAAGAATAATATAAAGAATATAAATGCAATGAACCTGAAGAGGAGTCAATATTAGGTTCAACTCCCTAGAAATAGTTGGGACATTATCAGAAGCTAAAATAGATGTATTCTATAATATAAAAGAGTATAAAAAAAATATATATATAAGTCTAACTTTATTTTGAGTTGTATTTTATTGGGCTTCATGTCTAAAAATATTTTCTATAAAAAAAATAAAATAAAATCTATAAAAAAATAAAAATAAGTACGTACCGATGACATGACGTAGCGATGACATGACGTAGCGATAATGTAGTGAGGACATCGGAAAATTATAATATAGATTTTGAGGATTATGTCTATGCCGAACGCGTCTTGGTTTAGTCATCGCCTCTACACCAATCATTCCGTTGATCAAGGCTCTGACGATGGTCACAACAATAGTAGTGGTGGTTGTCATGGCATGGAAATTTTATACGCGATATTTGTAATGATCGTCGTTGTGGTTATCGTAGCGATTGTCGAAATGGTTGCGGTTATTCTGACAATTATCGTAGCCTTGATCGAAACGGTCAATGAGGTAGTTGTCATGGCTTCCGTCGCATCGTTTGTTAAGCAGTAGTCGTACCGTATATCTCAAATTTCATCGAAGCGTTTGTCAGGGTAAATGTCGTAATGTATTTCGTCGCATTCATGGAAGCGTTTGTCACAGTAGTTATCGAAGCATCCATCGAAACGTTGTTCGTAATGGTTGTCATAAATGATCTGGGGTTGCCTGGTGAAAGCATCATATTTCACAAGAGATTTACGAAATGCGTTGGCCTGCTTGAGCTTCACTGTCTCATGGCTATTTTTAGCTTGGCCCATATAATTTATCTCTTGTGTTTTAGATGATTCAGCCCGATGTATGGCTTCTACTTTCACCACTCCCTTTATGTCATTTGGCTCCGTGATATATTCCTCTAGACCTAGATTGTAAAATCTTCTATAGTCATAGAGCTCCTGACCCCTTTCTAGACATCTTTAAAAATCGAACCAACTCTCACCTTCTAAATAATGCGTTGAATGCAATTGAATTTGCATTCTTTATTGAGTCTTGCTATGCGTGTGACCCAAGCTGGAACGTATTCTCCTTGCCTTGGGTGGCAGCATAAAATATAGAGAGTTTGGCGTTCTCTAACTTTGACGGATGTTGGAGCTTGTGTTTTCCAAGAAGAACGATTGGGTCCTGGAGATCTGCCTCCGTGTAAATTGCTAATATTATTGAATTCGTTATCTGAAAGACTTCGGACAACTCGGCCTATTCTCTGTTGGAGATCTTTCTAGTGTCTTTGCAATTTCCCTATACAAGCGCTGTCGTCGCTACTAAATTTAGGGAATCATATATGATGAATTATTCAATGCATCCATCGAAAAGAATTATAATCGATAAAAGAGTTATAGAGAATTCTTGTATAGTACAAAATCAAGATGGAATTTTGAGATAATAGTTATGCGAAGGATCGGACATAACTTGGCATATGATGAAACGTGAGGGATTTATCGAAATAAGTTTTTATTATAAATCAGAAATTCATTATTGTTAAATTACATAGAATGAAATTTATTAATCTTCCTTGACAAAAGAAAATAATGTTCTACTATCTTTATCAAACGATCAACAACAAAATTGATTTAAAGTTAACAAACATAAATTGTAATGATAAAATAAAACGTTACAAACTAAAAATAATCTCGGCGAAAGGTATAAAAAATAAAATCGAAACTAACAAAATAAGGACGTTAATACAAACTAAAAATAATCTCTCCGCAAGGTATAAAAAATAAAATCAAATTATTTAACAAGGGCTAATATAAATTAAACAATAAATTAATGAAAATAATCAATTTAGGAAAAGATAGAAAAGAAAACATTATAAAATTATCGAATTTTGTAAATTGCATTTTTAGAACTATCAATTCTAAATTTATTCTAAAATCAAATTTTATAACTATTAATTCGAAAATAAATATTTCTAATTTATCTATCGACCATAAATTTAGCTTACGACTTTTGCAGAAGTCTGACTCACCAGTCTTTGTCACGAGTCTGGTTAATCAGTCAGATTACAAATCGTTTCAGGAATCTTGCTTGCCAGTCGGCTTAAGCAGAATTCTGTTATAATTCCATCTTGAATACGGACTGATTAATAACAACGCTAACTCTAGAGATTAAATATCTAGAAACATCCTTATTCCAATAGTAATAACTATTTTATAATTAAAATACGGTATTTGTTTTTAGCATTGATATTATTATTATGTTACCTATCAGAATTCATAATGCTTACAAATTACTCGTTTTAAGTAATTCCTCAATTAATATTAAATGCTCCATAACATTATTAAAACATAACAAAAGTTAAAATATATTCCTGGTAGGTTATTTTTTAGTGCCTTTTGACAATTGACATCAATTACCGTCAGGCGCGTACGCAGCGGGGGGGGGGCAGGGGGACAAATCCCCCCCCCCCCCAAAGCCAAAAAATGCAGATGCCGGATTATATTTTTCAAAAATATTATTGTTAATATTAATTTATATTTGTTAATATTTATTCTTATCTCATATATACATATATATATTTAATTACATTTATTTATCACATTCATCTACTAAGTTATTTTATCAATCAATTTCGATTTCAAGTTTTCCTTGGCGTAATTTACCTATTATTTTCAAATTTTAGTGGCGTAATATTTATCTAAATTTCTAATAAAATAATAATTATCTCTGAAACTCCTTGTCCAACAGGAAGAAAATAATTGCAAGCTTGTCCAACGAGATCGAGTCTCCGCCACAGTAACAGCTATTTTGGAGTTAGAAGAGCTGATTATTAATGCTATTACTGAAATATCACAATGGCTTGAAAGAAATATTTCCTCAGAAGCAAGAAAATTATTGGATTCAATACTTATTCCAAATTTTTTTTCTCATTAAAATGTATTATTTAATTATACAACTATTTTATGTAATACTTTTCAAAAAGATAACATTGACTTGATTAAGAAGATGAGAATAGCGGAGAGCATTTTATTAGAACTCAAGGAAATAGAGCTAGTGTTGTTGAAGAATTTCATATTTTATATGTTATAGTTGAGTCAAAAGCAGAGCTATACGTGTTAAATATTTGTCCCCCTCGACTTGCAGCAAGCAAGCTCATCATCAAAACATTAATATAGGATCAATAGAAGAGTATTATAAAACAAATGTCCCCTCTCCCAACCTTTTTCATATGGTGATAGAAAAAAAATATAAATATTTGTTATATTTTTATCATGAAGATGTTAAAATATCTTATGATGCCTTATTAGCTGAATAACTATGATTAAAAGATTAACTATGGTTGATACAGTCCCAAAAATGCTATGGATGCTTTTATTTCAAACACATTTTAGATTATACTCCCAATTATTAAAATGGTTATATATATATTAGCAGCTCCTTAGTAAACTAATGAGAGAACCTTCACTTTTTTAAGAAGAATAACAGAGCCTTGCAGAGGTACCATTTGCAGGACCAGGCCCAGATTTTTTTTAAAAATTTTTTCCGGCCCGGGTTTTTTTTAAAAAAATTTTCAGGCCCGGCCCGGCTGGCCCAGCCCGAATTTTTTAAAATAAATTATATTTATTTTTGATATTTATAGCTAATAATGGCGATTTCAAATATTTGGTTTTAAAATATACAACTCGGCTCGGATATTTTTTCTTAAAAAATTTTCAGGCCCAGCCCGGGTGTTTTTAAAAAAATTACGAGCCCGGCCCGGGTATATTTAAAAAAATTAAAATACGGTCCGGCTCGGGGGCCGGGCCTGCAAGTCTGTGAAAAACATACCTATGAAATACAACATCTGAAAGTAGATTGAATGATTTGGATCTTTTGAATATTCATAGACATTTAACGCCAAGCAAGGATTGATAATTGAAAAATTAGCTCAAAACATACAAAATACAATTATTCCTAAGAAACTTTTTGTGTATTAATTTATATTTACAACATTTAAATTTTTTATACTTTATATATTTTAAAAGCTCAAAAAATTCAAATTTCAATTTTGGGTCATTTAAGTGATTCATATCGTGGGTTATATTCACTTTATATTTTATGATTCACATTTAAATGCCGGTTTATATATATAATTTTTTTAATTCACATTAGTTTAAAATTGTGTATTAGAAAAGTTATTAATCCTAATAAATTTATGCTTAGTATTTTTAATTAAAAATATTATTTCTTAAAAAAATTTATTATCCCCCCCCAGACCAAATTCCTGCGTACGCGCCTGATTACCGTATATCTCTAGCTTAATATGCCAAATTCATGCCAGTTATTTAAATTTATATAAATTCGAATGCTCGTATAAATTCATTCTGGATTCTAGCAATTCTTTGAAAATCAGAAGTTTTTTATTTAATATTATTTTTATAAAATTGCAATAATTGTTTTGTAGCATGTATTATTAAATCCATTAGTCTAAACTTTTATTTTTACATATGGGTATCACTAATATTTTTAGAAATGTATAAAAGTGTTTTTTAAAATTTTCCTTCTTAAAAAAATAATATAAAATTTAATTTTTTTAAACAATAATTGGATACTCGAAACAAATTTCTTTTATTTTTGGGATACCAAACATCATATCCCCCCCCCCCTTCAAAGCTAAGCTAGTATTTAGATTTGAATTTTATCAGGATATATTATAAAAAGAGAAGATAAGAGAAATTTATCATTGGAAAATATTATGTAGATATATTTTAATGATGTTCTACAAAACATATAATAATTAGAGAACTTCATTGACCAGACAGGACCATGAGCCTGTTCTGGGCATTATATTTTCTAGCAGCCTAGGCTTGGGTTTTAAAAATTTTTTTAATTTGAGAGACTTGGGCTTATTTTTTTTTATATTTAAATTTATCTTATTAAAACAGTTGTTAACTTAATAAAATATTGCAATTTTTTTCTTTTAATTAAAATAAATTTCAGTATTGCAAACAAAAGGATTGATATAAATACATTGAAATATTGTTTATTTTCCAGTGTTAAGCACTCTACTTTTTTTAGTAGCATAGCTAATATCATGCTACTTGAAAAATAAAATAACGTTAACACACCCTTTTTTTAGAGAGTAGCATGTAGCACACTATTTTGCTGCCTTATCATTTTATAATAAAATTCAGAGACCTGCAGGTGTGACCATGGGACCTAGGCATATTTTAATTTTTTAATCCAAACTAATATTTATATTATTTGCTCTGAAAAGCATGACCCAAAATAAAATTTTAAATTACTTATTTACCAGGCCCAAAATTATTTTAAAAAATTTAATATATGTTTTAATTGTGAAAAATATTGTGCCATTTATGAATTTATTTTACAAAATTGAATAAGCACATTCAAAAATACCCGACCCTAAGCCCATTTTTAAAAATTTGTGTATGGGCAGGACCGGTATTTGTAAATCTCTATGGAACACATCAAACAATTCCCTAACTACTTATATTCAAATTTTTTTAATTGAGGATATTAATGAATGAATAAATATACCCTAATCATTTTAAATTAAGCTAATGAATTGTGAAGATCAGTTATATACATATATATTGTACTTATCCTTATTAAAAGGAGGACACTCAATTGGGAATTATCAGTAATTAAAATAACTGTTATTTTATTACTCAAAAGTTTTAAATATGATTTAAACAGCTATTTGGATCAGAGAATTTCACAATTCTTCATTTGACTTAGTTATAGACTAATTAAATTTATCAAAATAAAACAGTATGCAAATTAGAGGTTGACACCACCTAGCTTAAATCAGCATTTGATTTTTTCTATCGAAATCTTGGGCTTTGTCTATGATTATTTTTAAAAGGCTTGGCTTGTAAAATTTTAAACAAGTTACCTGCTCATAAATTTTTTTTATAAAATGACATAAATTTGCGTAAATTTTATGTTCCAAAAACATTTTTAAAACTTTATTTTAGCATGGCCCATAAAATTATTTTGAACAATTTAGCCCAGTCTGAAAATTTTTTTTGAACAATTTCATTTCTCTTAGATTATAAATTTATGCTTATTACAAACAACCCCTATTCTGTTTTGATGTACAAATGCATTATATATATATATGTAATACTAGTATATAAGGTAAAAATCTATGAATTTACACCCTGCCAAAACGATCTTGAGTCATTATATACAAAACACATATTAGTTTGTGCTTTTGAATCATTGGACTTCAGATTTATTGTTGCTAGGGTTTTAAAAATAATTAGGAACTGTGAAAATAACTTTAAATTCCATTTATGGTTATAAAACTAATTTTATTTGAAATGCAACCCTTGTATCGTGTTAATTTTGATTTGCTTTTTTTTAACATTTGTATTAAAGATATGGTTGATTATATATTAACAGACACACGATGGTCTTGATTTGATAACGATCATGGAAAAATATATTAAGGTGTCAGACGATTTAGGGAATATTATAGAAATTCCAAGTGATGAAGACGGTACCATCAGTCTACCCACCCTGATATCCCAATTTAATTGCGCTTCTGGTTTGAAATATCAAGGTCCGAATGGATTTTGGAGAGCTTTAAGAATTGAAAACGATAAAATAATACCTCCAAAAGATTTTGAAAAATGGGATGAAATACTTTACAGAGTAGTCCAATTGAAAGGTTTTAATTAGTATTTTTATTTAAAATTTACGCATGTATTTTTTAAGAAAACAAAAGAAAAATTGATGATTGTATCGATGAAAATATGATCAAGTTAAGGAAAAAGACATTACCCAAAAAGTGCAACGATTTAATCGTATTAGGTTTGAATCCAATTACGACTCCCGATTCAATGAAAAAAGTGTTCTTGCCTTATGGTAACGTCATTTTAGCGGAGGTAAAACGCGTGAAAAAAAATGAACGTATAACACGTTTAATTTATATATTAATATTATTAAGGTGAAAAAAGATTCAAAAACGGGTAAAGCAAAAGGCTACGGGTTTATACGGTTTTCTAATTACGAGTCACAGTTAAAGGTATTGATGAAAAAGTTCAATATTGATGGGAGATGGTGTACCGTTAAACTTCCCGATTCAAAAGTATTATTTATATTATTTTATTTTATTTTTTATAAAATTATTTACAAATGAATATCTTCTATTCGAAAAAAATAAGAAGTAAATTAGATGAATTGAATACTTATTTTTTACTAGCATTTGTTCTTCTACCCTTTTAATTTTAAAATCTATCTCTAGTCTCTTTTTTTAAGGAAATACTATCTATATTTTATGGAAATTTTTAAAATTATTTTTACTAAACTAATAAAAAGAAAAGTAATCGACTAAGTTGGATAATAACTATTTTTAATTTTTAGCCGACTAAGAAATCGGCTAGACAGTAGTTATTAGCCGAAAACTATCACTTTGGCCTAGGAGTTTTTACATTTAGCTATTACCTAACTATAGTAAACTATACTATAATCTTTGGTCTTAACCTAAAGGAAACTACATAAGATTTCTCATATCATATCTAGTTGCTACCTTTTTTTGGCTACCCTTGTTTTTTCCTTCTAAATATAAATATAACGGGGATCAAAACCGTAACCAATATCGGTACTGGTTTAAGTTCAGAAAAAATAAGAATTCAAGGTTGATAAATTGGTTCGGCTTGAACCCTTAAAAACTGAGTCTAACATTTTCGCGTAAAATTTTATCACTAACTAAATTATAATATTAAAGTTCGTACACATTTAAAATATTTGATTTTCTTTTGTCAAATTATATCTGTGTCATTTCAAATAGTAATATATGAAATTATTTTAAAATAATTATAGACACTTATTAGTCAAAATTGATTATTAATCCTCTTTAAAAGTGTTAGAATATCAAACTATTTCACAGAACCTTTTTAGAGATTCGGTTTAGGTTCAGTAGATAATACGGTTAATACTGGTACGGTTCAGGTTCGGTTTGAATTCCTGAAATATAACCCTAATTTTTATTTTATAATTAACTTGAGCGTTATATTTATTCCCTAAGGAAACAGCGTTGACTTCAGCCGCCAATATTTTTGAATAATATCCTTATCCCTGAATATGGTGTACGAACATTATATAAAATGCTTAAACTGTTCGTATATTAAATGTGATACAAATAATTTAGCTAAATACTAGTCTCTATTTAAAGTTATGAAGATTGCCAAATTTTATAATTAATATGTGATTTTACTTATCGCATATCCTTTTTTTTCCCACTATGCATTTATTTTGCTGCTTCTTTTTTTTTATTAAACACATCTCATTCATTATAATTATACATATTATGATATAGCATTTATAATATAGACAAACCGCATTTGAAATTTGTTATCATTTTGATTTTTAGGCAGGAGAATTATAAATTGCACAACGAAAAATTTTAATAGCTATTTTGTTCCAATTTGAGCTACTACAATTATCATATAAAAAAATCGAGATGATAATTAAATTCGCGGTGGAATTATGAAATCTATAAATCAGGAAATAGATTTGAATAATCAATAAAATCTCAATTAAATTAAAATTCTAAAATAAATGACTAATTTTCAATTTCCCTCTTTTGAATTGTTGTAACGATGTTTCATAATTTTATCGTATTACAAGCCAACCGGAGTTGATTAATAGTCTCATATTGTAAATTATTTATATTTAGGTTTAAATGAGATTATTTTATATTGTGGCGCATGCTCTATATGAGCTAGTGAGTGGAAAGTAGTTATATTCGATATGGACGAAGGCGTATTTTGGCTAAGGATTTTGCTTCGTCCGAATGCTGAATATCATGATTTTTTAAATTCTTTCAAAAATAAAAGATTCCTGATCTCATCTGCTCTATTTGATCATAAATTTAAATGGAGTTATGAAGGCCTAGGGTTATACTATTTTTTTTAAAAAATGGATAACCTAAAAAGAATTTTTGTAGCATGAGACTATTTACTGACCGGGTTGTCAGTAGCACGAATTATTGACATCCCCTACGTCTTTGATATTTTGGACGGGACACGTCCCAATTGCGTTATACCTTGGGGGTGCGTTCACCTCCGTTTTCATATTAACATTTTTGTTCTATTTCTATAAAGATTATTTTCGTTAATTTCTTCTTCAATTAAAAAATATGAGATTATGAAAAAATGATACCTTTTCTAAAGATGCAATTGTTTTTTTTAAATAAATTTTCATATTTTTTTGTAATTGAATTTAAAAAAAAAAATTATTTAATCATTTCGATCTTTTTTGAAAGTCAGGATTCGTCCCAAGGACGTTTTATCAGGATAGAACTAAGTTACGTACGGTACGAAAATGCCCATTTCTAACGGACTTTTGATCTAGACAAAATTGATAATTATAATTTCATGAATTATTTTTAATTACTCTCTCCCTTTATCCCATCTTTTAGTAAAAAAATAAATATAATTTAATTATATTTTAAAAAAAAACAACATTTATTTCTATATAAATAATAAACTGACCCACACCAGACCTTTGAACAAGTCTGATATATATATAATAACCCAACTAGCCCTATATAAAAGATAAATGGAAATGAAACATAATTTAAACTTAGTTTGTAGCGTTAATGTGGCCACATTCATAGTAGCATCCGATCCGACGACACATTTTAACAGCTAACGATTTTTAAAATCTGTTTGAGATGAATTTTTATTTATTAAAATCAATATTTCTTAGATTATTATCATGAATATAGAATTAAAGATAAAATTATTATTTAATTTTAAAAAATTTTATCTCATGAACACATTTTAAAAATCGGTCAGCTGTTAAATCGTGCCGGATTGGATCCCACTATGATTACGGCCTGTAACTAGATTAACTAATAGTTAAATTGATAATTTTTATTAAATGTAAAACTTTGTAACTAGTTACTTTAAGAAAAAATTGATCACTCATTCTCTTATTTTTTGAAAATATGTCAAGTAACGAGAACTGATTATTTATTGATGTCACTTATAACTGTAACTATTAGTAGCTTTAAAAACACTACTATTTATTAATGATTATTATTTTATTATAACTTATCCACTAATTCCAACAAACATCTCCCCCCCCCTCCCCCACTGTTATTTATTTGCGGGTCAGGAATACCATCAAGTTGAGGTGTATTAACCTCGCCTTTATCCCTTCTACTAGAATCCTGCTTCAAACCTATTTTTCTGATACGATAATTTTGAAAAGGTATATCTGACCGATTCAAATCTAAATAATACTTCTTTTTTTTCAAGGAATTCCAATTCGATCCGAAATTTAGACATAATTGGTCTAGTCTGTACCGACACACACATATATTTTGAACTGTAGGAAAAAAAAATACATAATATTTAAATGAAGGCGGAAAAAATTATAAGTAACTTAAGGAAATTGATAGTTTTGATATTACAAGAAAACAATTATAATATAAAAATTTTGCCCAAGTCTGGCCCGGTCCGAATTAAAATATTATATCCAGCCGAGACCGAGAGAATGTTTGTCCGCTTGGATTTGCCACTGCAAGGCTCTACCCTTATACAACTAGAAGCCCTTAAAATATTCACAAAAAATGACATTAAATATGTTATGTTATATAAATAAAACTATTTAAAATTGCTCATCATTTTTTAAAAATATTTAATAATTTTACCCGTAAAAATAAAAAAATAAAGGGTGGCAACGCAGCACTTTCCGGTTCGAAGATATTTATAGGCGGCGTGGACCACTCCATGACGGCCTCGGACCTCAAATCGTTTTTTGAATCCAGTTTTGATACTACAGTGGTGGATGTTTTCTTCGTCCCGGCCAAAAATTACGCGTTCGTAACTTTCTTGGACTGGGACACAGCTCATTCTCTTTACGGCGAATCCTTTGAAATAAACGGGAAAAGTGTATTCTGCAGACCAGCAGAACCGGTGTCCGATAATTATAATAAAACTAACAATATCTGTAGTAATAATAATGCTGCCGGAGTTTCATTACAATTATCGACCTCTCAATCTATTGTGAGCAAGGTGGTCAAGAATGGGAACTCGGGGTCTACTAAAAAATCGAGATGTCGCAAAGTCATAACCAATCAGGTTTGTCAAAAAACATTTAAAAAAAAATATTTGTTACATTTAAAATTATTTTATCTTTATAATAATCATTTCCGATCATAATTATTTACTAAAAAAAATTCAGACTATCGATGATCAGCTCAATGTTCCATGTTTCAACGAAGAAAGCTTCAAACATAAGGTGCCATCTAAACATCACCATTTGACGTTAAACCTTAACCCCGATACAGCAATACACAAATTAGAAGGGGAATCAGACAAGTTGACTTTAGGTGACATTTCCCTATTACCTCCTATATTCGATGAAAAATTGATGGAGGCCCTGGAAGAAATCTCGAGGGCCAAGCGGCCTAACAATTTTACCGAAGATAATTCTTCTAATGTGTGCTCAGATATGAAAGCTCACGGGGAACAAGGCAAGACTGATCCGATAATGGATCATTGCAATGAAAATAAGGGATCTTGCATTGACTCGAATCATTCTGTGTGCGATAGGTGCAATGACAATATACAAAAAATACTCGGTGACCAAACGAGCAGTGGTAACCGGGAATGCTTGGAAAATGATGTTTGTGTTAGGTGCGATCACCTTTACAATAGCGGCTCCTCATATTCGAATCTAATTCGTTTGCAATGTAAACCTAGCTCAAAGGATGCCCACTTAGACAGCGATGAATTAATCGAGGATTTTGAGTCTTCCACATATTTGAATAATCAGAGTCCTTTCTTGAAAGCCAAAAATACGAGTTCCAGAAGGCTTCACACGAATTTTGGAAAATCTATGAAAATTAAGCTCAAAGAAAACGATATGGATGAAAATGTGAATGAACAATACACCTTTTCATCTAATAAAAATTTAGAATTAGATCCGAAGCACAATATTTCCTTCCACGATAATCGAACTTTTGTTATTGAATCCAATGATTTATTGAAACATCAGATGGCCAATCATTTCTCTTCCATATCCTTACAGAACAACGAGGTTAGCCTACCAGTCGAATCCTTCAAATCGGCTTTATCCCTGGGACTCAAAAAGAATGATTATATTTTGGATTCGTTAAATCACATCACTCTCAACCACACCAAGCGTTCCCGGGAAAATGAGCTGGAAGAATCAGAGGAGTGCTGCTTCCTAACGAAATTGTCCAACTCCGCGTCTCACAATTTCCCCGTTATCAATTCATTATCCTTCAGCCTCCAACAAGAACACCCACCCTCTCCCGACACGACAACAGATTTTGTTGACAATGTCGACGCCGAAAATGACGTAACCATTCTTTCCCTCACTCATGACCCCCTAAATTTTGGAGATATCGACGAAGTAAATCTAACCACTCTGCGAGCCGTTAATTTATCCGGATCCAATTCTATCCTTTCAAAAAATAATACGGTAGAAGAACAATTATTTTCTAAATTAGGCCCTTCCGCCATCATTAATAATGGTAAGGCATCATTAGCGAAACGCACATCGAAGTTATCTAAATCGCACTCCGTTTTATGCGTTATTTCGAAATTGGACAAGAATTTTAACTCGGTGGATAGTTTAAGCAAAATCAAATCTTCAAATTTAGGAGACTTTGAATGTAGCACCAAATTTTTAAGTACAGACTCGGCCTACCGAAATAGAAAAAGTGTGATAGATTGTTTAAGCGAATCCGTGTTAGGTAGAAATACGACTCACGGTGAAATCTTATACGATAATTTTCTCGTCGATAAATTAAATAAATCTCACCACGAGAGATGCCAATCCCTACCCGAAAATATAAATTTTATCTAAAATTGGCTATTGATTATTTAATAATTTAATATATTATCATCATAATTTTAATTTATTTAAACATATCTTATAATCATTTGAACTTTTTATAATAATAACGACTCATTTTTGAAGGGTTAATTTAATTTTTTGTAAGAAATTTATTTTTATTCTTTAAAAATAATTTTTTTTATATGATATTATCTTAATAATAAAAAATAAACGTTCATACATGTAAGTTATGTTTAATTAATTTTTTATAATAATGATACATACATTACAGCAAAATAAAATCATTAATTAATTGCATATCCCACTCACTTTTCTAATTTCATACTTCTATAGTCGTAAGAGTTTCTCTTAAGTTTGTTTTGCAATTTTATATTTTCCCTGTATATTTTCTTATTATCCTCTTTGATGGAATTAATCTTAGCTCGGGTGTTCAATTCCTGTGTCCGGCGATCTAATATTTTTTTATAAAGATCCATATTTGTTTCGTGGATATCGAATATATCTTTTTTAAAGGCGCTCCTAACCTTCGAATTATCCCCGGATACCATCAATTTTCTAAATCGCCTCTCGATTTCGTTGAATTTGTTACCATACTCGGGATTGTTGAAGATTATTTCTTGATTTTTTTCGAGGAATTCATTGATTTCTTTCGATTCATACCACTCTTGATCCAGTTCATCGGACGATGGGAAACCGGCAGATAATGGGTCTACAACGGCTAATTTCTTTTTAGCTCTAATTTGGTTTAACATTTGTTTGGCCCTGTTCAATTCGTTCCAAATGTTGGCCTTAGAATGGTTCAGTTTCTCCAATTCCTCCCTTAGTATTCCCTTCTCTTTCGAAATTTTTTCGAAACCCTCGATCATCATGTCCAAATCCTTCTTGAGTCGGGTTATTATTTTTGGCGTCATATTTTCGATGTTAGGGTCAAAATGTGCATGAATCAACGGGTTACTCTTTCTCCTTCTCCCGTAAATGCTCGAGGGTTTGTTATCTTCGTCTTCCTCGTTAACCGTGATGACGTAAGAGTGCGATTTAGCAACAGCAACATTTTGTACGCGCTCGAAAGATGGGTTCATTTCTTCTCTTTAAAAATATATTTTTTTAATGTTTAAAAACCGCGAAAATATAGTTTTTACGATTATAAAATTATTAGGCTATGTTCTAAGGTGTATCTAAACATTGACGCCAAACAATTTCGTTTTCAAAATTTATAAGTTGAAATTTGATTGATGACAGTCAATGTTAATAAATGCAAGAAAAAGTACGTTTTGGTTTTTAACTAAAAGAACGTAACTGCAATCTTACTTCCTCGTAGCCATATAGAATAGAATTATGAGAAATAATTTTTTTAACACAAAAAAGAACAAATTTATTATGATGTAGATCAATCGATACGTGTCAATATTAATGCGTGTAGAATTAATTTAAACAAGATTAGAAATAAAAAACAACTCATTCTTAAACAAATATTGAGATTTAAAAACATTTTTACAGCCTATGAAATAGTCGAATTATTTCAAATAACAAGTTATTATAATGTTCATTTTATAAAACATAATTTCCTGCTAATTATATTAACAAACCAGTCGGAACTAATCATAAGCAAAAATAAATAATGAATGGGTATATGAGGCACTGGGTCAAAAATTAGCAAAATTTATTAGAGCTGCACTGATATAAAAAATTTTACCCATTTGATATTTCTAAAAAATCTACCCGACATTTATATTGAAGGTCCATAAAGTTGGCGGAATGGTTTGAAACATAAATTCTGCCTATACCATTTTTTAGTGCCCTATGTGTTTACCTATCTGAAGTTGAGGGAACGACTAAATTTAGCCATCTAATTCAAAACTTAGCCGATTATTTACAAAAAAAATCTGCGGCATATTCTCAATTACTATTCAAAAAAAATCAAAGAATTTAAAGACAACAGGAAATAAAACGACTCACTGATTTTCAAAAATGAACTAAAAAAATTATTAGTCAGAGATATATATAAAATGCTATTAGTCAGCATAGTCATTTTTTTATGACTATCACTAAATAGATATAGATTTTTATAAGCTACATCTCAGTCAAAAAAGGCTATAGCTAAGCCATTCCTTAACTTTGATTTGTGCTTCATGTTTTGGTCCTGCTGAATATATCGTTAATGAGTTATAAACATAGGAAAAATAAAAAATGATGTTTAAAGGATGGTGGAATGACTTGAGGCACGAATCCTAATCAATGACAATATTTCTTAATTTGTGCTTTATGTGAGATATCAGAGAAAATAATTGTTTGTGAGTAGCAAAATAAAAAAATTTGAAATTGGGCTTTCTTTATTTTCGCTTTACCCTAGTTTTCAAAGCTATGCATTACGGACTGCATCATGCTTTCTAGAGAAATTATAAATTGTTCTATTTTTAATCTTATTAACTTTCTATTTTTTAAATAGAATATTTTTAAATAAATGTTTAAAATCTGATTCGAGCGGCATAAATATTCACCTACACGATATTTAAATATTATTGACAGCGAGTACCTAATGATTTAATTTATTTTTGCAGTCAATCAATAAAAAATGGTTCATTGGCAAAACAAACAGAAGAACTTGATAAAAAAATTATCCGAATTTTTTATTTCATTCAAAATAGATCGATTAATTCTTAACAACTCATAAGAGCCATTCTATTTTAACATAAATTCTTATTACATTCAAAAATATTCTGTCTTGAGGCAAATACTCTTTTTTTAAGATTGAGTTATCCTACATTTAAACTTTGATAGAAGCCAAAACGAGTTTTAGCTTAAAAATTCGACTTAGTTTATTTAGAGTCGGCTCAAAACTTGCTGAAAATGGAGTCAATTATCACATCTACTTTCTGGTGGCGAACATCATCTATGCTTTTTTTTATGAGGATGGTTTAAATATTTTTAAAGAAAATTTGATGTTTAATATATTACTGAGTCGATAATATCTATTTATAGAACTTGTTAATGGATTGAGAGCCGCCTTCAAGTTTGGCACATTAAGTAAGAATTTAATAACCTATTATCAATGTTGATAGTTATTTTATTTTTTTTCCCCAATCAATACCTTTTTAAAAATATAATTAATATTTCCAAAAATATTTTTAAATGAATAATAAAATATAAAATAATAATAAATAAAAAAAATTGTTTCTCAGGTGGCTATAAAACTAATATATAAAAATGAAAAAAAATTCCATTTTTAAATAGGAATTTTAATTTTTATAAGAATATAAGGAAAAGAGATTGAAATTTAAAACCTTGAAAAAAATATGAAAATTATTTGTGAAGGTTCTCAAAATTTGGAAAGGCAGTTAAAAAATAAAAAAATTAGTAAGGGGGGGGGGAGCTTAACCCATAATCATTTTCGCAGTACTTTCTAGAAATCATGTATGCTTGTTGGAAATTGACGATGTTAAATATCGACCGTTGTCATACCACGGTCAAATATTTTACATGAGGCCCTGCAGTTGTAAAATGATTGCATAATATCTGCTATAATAAACTTGTCGTTTCAAAAACAGTGGCGTACATTTTTTCTATGATACGCGCAACAGTCCGAGAACTGTCGCTTAAACGTCTATAGGCTAATCAACAAAAGAGATGGGCAAAAACAAAAGCCTATACCCATGAACTGCCTAAATAATTTAATTACTTTAAGGGTGGGTGGTGGCCAATTTTAAGTTTAACATCTAATGTAAGCCTTGGTAGTTACTAACAAATAATTGAGAATGTGTTCATATCAATTGAGATTAGAATTTATTCATGAAAATAAGGAAAAGCTAAAATGGGTTTACCACAAATTGTTTAAAAGGTGAAAAATCCAGTGAATAGGCAAAAACTAGTCAGTAATCGGTTTATGACTATCCAGCAAACGAACACCACACAACAAACGGTTATTTTTCCTTTTTCCAGAGAAACAAAATACTCTATGGAGTGATAGATAGATTATATAGCGAAAAAGGTCTTTGATAATGATAAAGATATGAGAGAAAGGAAACTATGACGCAGAAATAGGAGCCAGCTCCGTAAGTTTTAGGAAATTGAAAAGTAATTGTTGGCCAGGATTAACAAAGGCATTTTGGCTTGATTGTTATATGATAGTCTATCATTCACGGAAAACTCTACCAGCAAAACATATTTACAAACCTCGCCACCCCCCTGTCGACTGGTTTCTCCATAAATGAAGTAACAAGCGAACAAAGACTAATGAAAAAAAAACACTAAGAGAAAGCAAAAGCTCCAGGGCCAGATAATATCACAGCAGAAAAACCAAAAAATAAATAGCATCTATAACAATATCGCTACCTATTTGCCCTCATTTAATAGAAATATGGGAGAGCGGAACTACTGCAGTGGGATGAAATCAAAAATCCTACCTAAGTAACTACCCAAAAACTAAGACCACAAGAAAATTAAGACTTATTGAGCTATAGCCATCACATCCTATAGCATGGAAAAAGCATAACACCCACACCAAAAATACATAAGTATATACAGACCAAGAAAAGAAAATACTGGATCCAAAATTAATTTAGAAAAATAATCATGCAGAAAAACTAAGTACAAAACCCCTTCTGCTTTACATTTGTGAATTATAACAGAGCTATTGATAATGTTAACCATGCAGTTTTTTCAGAAAATAAGATAAATAAAAGCTGAAGTCAGTGAAGTAAGTAATTCACAGAATAGGTGAAAGACAAAAATCAAGAGGTAAAATTTAGAGATGAAGAAATTAAATAACCTGAAAAATACAGAAAATAAATTATGGGAGGTTTAGGTAATTCGATTTAATTTTTAGTAGTTTTTTTATAGATTTTTTGTTTTTATTTAGCCTTAGGAATTGCTTCAAATTTAAGTTTAGATCCATTATGTCCTTCAAGGCTCTGTAGAACCATAATGTCTTATATTTGCAATATGTTTTCCCATTAAAGGAGTATAACCAATTAATGGCATCAATAACAAGGCTATTGTTACTATGATTTCTTAAAATATGGGCAAAGAAAGTAAGACGTTTCTTTTTTAAAGATACGTGAACCTGGGTATGGTTAGACTTCTTCCAAAGATTTTCATTTGAGATAATATTTGGATAGAAGATTCCATTTATTATTCTAAGGCATTTATTTACAAACGTTTGTAATTTCCTAGTTTCGGTCTTGGTAATCTCCCATGTATCACCGCCATAAAAGAGAATCGGGATGATGGTTGAGTTAAAAATACAGAGTCTTGTGAAAACGGATATCTCTCTAGCTTTCCACAGTTTAAAAAATTTATAAAAAGCCGCCCTAGCATTTTGTAAACGAATTTTTAGTTCTTCTTTACAACTACCTTTATTGTCAATGGTTACACCTAGATATTTAAAAGAATCTACCACCTTAACCAACTTTCCCCCCACCACCAAATTATTCAGAAGAGGCGCCTGGGACGAGGGCATTATCACTGTTTTATCAAAGTTAATGTCCAAGCCAACCTTAAGACTAAAGGAGTTTAATATAGCGATCAAATTTTGGGTTTCTTCCAAACTTTTTGTTATCAAAACTATGTCGTCAGCATAAGATATCACCCTATTTTCCAAGAAAAAAGACTGACTGGAACTTAATTCTAAGAGATTCGCAGTAGCCAGCGTATCTACTATGATTTTATTCATAAGTATATTAAACAAAAGCGGGGAAAGAACACATCCTTGTTTTACCCCTTTTTTTGTCCTAAAAGATGGAGAAACCTTATTATAAATTTTTAAGGAGGCAAAAAGACTACTATAATGTGTTTTAAGGATCCTTATAATATTAGAGTCAATGCCATATTCGGTTAAAATCTTCCAAAGCTCATCATGGTTAACATTATCAAAAGCACGTTTAAAGTCGATAAAAATAAAGTAAAAAGGTAATTTATACTTCTGACATTTCTGCATTATAATCTTTAAAGCTAATATTGGTTCGTTTATATTTCTACCTGGACGGTAAGCACAAATATACTTAGACAAAAGGTTTGGTGTAGAGGAAAGAATGCGATTTTTTAAAAGAACCATAAAAACTTTTGATGCAATAGACGTGAGAGCGATGGCTCTATAATCCTTGAATTTAGATGGATTTGGAATTTTCGGGAAGTTGCAAAAGATAGTCTTATTCCAATCCGCTGGCATCATCCCAGTCAACCATATCTTGTTAAACAAAGGAAGTAAGAACCGAGAGATCGTTAAGGGAGCTGCTTTCAGATGTTCTCCCGTAATGTTATCTGTACCCGGAGATTTATTATTCCTAAGCTTCTTAATGGCAGCCACAATTTCCGCCGATGAAAAGTTTGCATCCAATTGTCCCCCATTTTGACTAGTGGATGGGATTAAGGTAGGCCTCCTAGAATCAAAGACTCCCATATAGTGGTCAAGCCATAACGCTATCTGTTCGTCAGGGTCAGTAATTAACCTATTATTATCCAGTCTTATAGTTGGAAGTGTCTTGAACACTTTGGCTTTACAAAAATAATTTAGTTTCTTGTAGGCGTCGAAAGTTCTATTTTCCCTCATATCCCTGTCTATCTCAAAAGCCTTTTTAGCAATAAAGATCCTTCTATCTCTCCTTAGGAGTCTATGAATTGAGGTCCATAAGTGACCATCGCGCTCACCTCGTAACTTGAGTTGAGCTATCATGCGAGTGGTGTCATCGGATAGCCATTCCTGTCTCGGTGGAGAAATGTTGATGTTAGGGAGATGATTGTAGGCATCAAACAAGTTGTTTTTGAAAGACGCCCAACATTCTTCGACAGATTGAGACTCCGACGAGGATAAGAAAGTTGCCTCTCTATCATTTAAGAATAGATCAAGCTGTAGTTTGACTGCAGGGCGTTGCAGGTGAGTTGCATTTCTCTTCCAGGACAGGTATCTCGGCTGGGGTTGAAGAGAAGGACGCCGAGAGTTTCCCCATAAATTTTTCACAGTGATAGTGGCTCTGATTAATTTATGATCAGAAATATTAATATTTGGCATTACTTTTACATCGATAAACCAACTATGGATGTTCGAGATGATAAAATCGATCTGAGACTTAATATTATTTCTACTGAAGGTTAGGGTGTTTAATTCACTGTGCGAAAAGAAAGTATTTTCGACCTTGAGGTTTATACTCCTGCACATCTCCAATAACTTTCTACTGTCATCACTGTTTAATTGAGAGAGAGTTGCATTCCCAATTACCCCATCTCTAATAAAGGAGTCATCTTTTCCGATCCTAGTATTTAAATCCCCAAGAATTATCAAATTTCGACTCCTAGGAAGAGAGTTTACAATGTTTTCGAGGTCATCGAGGAATGCGAGCCGTTCGTTTCTTCTAGGCGGGGCATAGACATTAACTAAGATTGTTTGCCTGAAGCAGGTGTTCAGGTATAGTAAACAGCATCTCTCCGAAATGGGCACAAATTTATCCACGTATTTGCATAATCTTTTGCTGATAAAGAAAGCAACTCCCGAAATTGATGTTTAAAAATAATTATCAAATTATCTGCTATTAATATGGCTGCTAAAAAATTTAATTACTAGCCATAAAAAGTTGAAGGGTGGACGGATTTTTTCAAAAAAAATTAATGTGTAAATAATTGAGGAGATTTCCCAACAATCACAATTAGTACAAATCTAGCGAATTCGCTGCAAAGTTTCAAGTTATTGATGGTAGCGAATTTTCAATTGTGGTAAATTTAATATATGGCATCTCGAACGAATTTTTAAATTTATTCATATATAAATTAAGAATTATTTATAATTAATAATTAAAGTAACTTATAAATATAAAACAATTCCAAATTAAGGTCCATAAAAATATATGCAATGAAAATTAAAAAATTAAAAAAAATTCCAAAAGGATAAAAAATAATAATATAAAGGATTAAAAAATATAGTAGATGGTGGATTGTAGGCAATGGAATATATATAACTAAAATTGATTTATATAAGATTTACTATTTTGTGGTCATCTATTGTGCAAAGATTTGCCTGTTTTTATAAGGAAATAAATTAGGTAATATCAAAAATATCAAAACGTATCTAAAAAATGATCAAATATATTCAATATTATGTAGATATGGATACTTTTTGTATCTAATGTAGAAGATATCCCCATTTATATCTAAATACTTTAAAAAATCTTTTGTATAAACGCCCTTTTCATATAAGGGAACATAATTTTGCCCTATAACATTTAACATGTATCGCCTTGTATAAGCAAAAAAATAATAAACTGTAAATTAATTAGTCACTGTCAAATTTGCATATCATCATTTCTATTTCTGGTTATCAATCAATATCCATTAAATAGCATGGTTTTTCAAAATTTTTTATTTTTTAACAATTTTTATTTTTAAATATTAATTATCAAAATTAAAACTAATAACGAAATCTAATCACCCTAAGTAATAAGTATATAATTTTTATTTATATATATTTATAAAAGAATTTTATACAACCTAGAAAAATATGATCATTTAATTATATCTTATTTGATAGTAAGTTATTAAATAACAAAATCTAATCACCCTAAGTAATAACTATATAATTTTTATTTATATATATTTATAAATGAATTTTATACAACCTAGAAAAATATGATCATTTAAATCGCTTATTTGATAGTAAGTTAACATAATAGCTTATTTTAATTATGGATTACTTGTCATTATAAGTTAGATTTTCAAAAATATTTATATACATTATTACAAAAATTTAAAATAAGTACAGTCACCCCTATACTTTATAGCAAGGAAGCATGTTACCCACCTAAAAAAATCCTCCAAAAATGCACTTAACAATTATAAATATCCAAAATAATTTTTATTGCATCAATCTTACATATATTATATACAGATAGAAAATATACTTTGATTTTGAAGTATATATTTTAAAAAAAAACAATAATTTAGACAAATTAAGATAAGAGAAAGTGAAAGAGTGTCAATATATAATTTAAATAAATTTTGTCCTATTGATAAAATAGTTAAATTATTAAGAAAAGGATCATTCATGGTACAATGAACATATTTTATTTAATTAAGTTTAATTTATGACCTTTTCACCACATTATGAGGTTGTAGGAATAGTTAATAAATATTTATATAAAATTAATAAATTAGGGATAACAGAAAAATGATAGTATATTATAAGGTAAAATTGAATATTTTTTTTAGTCTAAAAGTCTCATAATCATCATTATTAAAAGAAGAAGCTAAATAATGTTTTGAAATATTTTAATAAAATAAATTTACAATTCTCAAAATTTGACAAGTTTTTTAGATTTTTTTAACCTCCTGGTTATGTGTACTGAATAAATCCCCCCTTTTAGCTATCATATAAAAATTTTAAAACTGTCATCTCTTCAAAAACTTGACTTGAATTTAAATTATAAGACTCACAGATATCTTTGATATCATCTTTAAGAAATTCTCTTTGGTGTAAAAAATTGATATTTTTAGAAATTTCATAGATTCATCATTAAATCCTTCATTAAACTGCATTATTATCAAATCAAATACAGCATAATTGATTTTGAAGTTAATATGAAATATTACATTTATTAATGAAAGTATATGTACCTTTCTTTTTTGGATTGTAATGTTGGAAGCCTAAAACCTTCCAAATCAAAAAATTTCTTTTTCTCTTTCATGAAATTTTGTGCCCTTGAAAATACATTTAAAAATTGAGTGTCATCATCTAAAAAGATTAAAAAATGATGATAATTTAAATTATACTTCTCAAATTAATCAATCTTTTTCTAATTGAATTTGATTTTGTACAAGCCAAGCTTGTTATCAAGATAATCTATCCAAAATAAAAAGTGATAAAATAAAATCAAAATTTTCTATTCCAAAAAAAAAAACTATAGCACCAGCCATAATAGAAGTGATAAAATCTCCAGAATGCTTTAAATTTTCCAAAGCACCTTTGAGGCATGATAGTACAGCCATTCCACTTGAAATCGATCATAAAAGGTACATTTTTGGCTGACCCTCTTTAAAATGGCTAAAAATTTCTTAAATTGTTTAGATAGGTTAAAAAAAATAGAAAGTTGTTTATTTTAGCTCGCTAGAATACCTCGTTCCCTATATACAAGGCCTCTAGGATGTGAAAAATAGTAACTTTTTCTGTAAAATTTTTCAAATGCGAATATCTTAAAAACTGTTTATAACAAAAATAAATTTAACATATCAAATTATAGATAAAAAATTTTTTTAGAGGTCTATCAAAAAAAATTTTTTTGGTGCCAATTTGACTCTTTATTTTTTGGCTTACTTATATTGCTTTACCCGTGTTTTTAAGCAATAAAGGGAGGTGGTTTTTGAATTTTTTTTTTATCCTTTTATTTAGATACAATTTATAAATATATATAAGATGTGAATACTTAGGCGACGCTATCGGCTCTTCCTAAATATTCATTTTATCAAAAATTGAAAATTTTATCTGCATAAAATAGATGGCGCTATACGAAACTACAAATGATGGTTAAAATTTGTTGCTAAATTACATAATATGATATTTTTATTTCTTATCTAAAATATTTTGAATTTCTGGGCCATCCATGTGATCAAAAAGACCCTATTTAGGCCTACCACTTTTAAATTGTTAAAGATTGCTGGAATTATTTAGATAGGTAAAAAAAATAGGAGCCTTTTATTTTAGCTCGCTAATGCACCTGTTTCCTGAGATACAGAATCTCAAAGGTTTAAAAAATGGAAATTTTTGCACTTCTAATTTTTAAGTACTGCATGAATTCTATTAAAATAATTTCAAATGAAGGAGAATATATCGTTCAGGCAGATTTTGCTGAAAATTATACCCCTGTGGTTCAAGATGAAGTACAGGGATTTTATTGGAATAAAGGACAAGTATACAATCATCCTTTTGTGATAATCACAAGACACTTAAAAATTTCAATTGAAGATGATTTTGGAATAGAAGCTGAATGGCATTTCTGAGCCACATCTCATCGCATATCACCAGGGCTAGTTTAAAAAGACCCATTTTAGAACAAATTACTTCTCATAAAAAGTTTTTTGCTTATTCTAAGGAAAATATTAAAGGCATAAGATTTCTAATTTATTAATATATATTATTAATTTTTTTTATTAAGGAATAAATTTTTCTTATATTATGAAAGATGAATTTGAGAAAAAGCAAATAATTTTAGAAAATAGAACAAAGCTCTTACAATATATGGAACACAAAAGTTTCTCATTTATATCCAATTTTCCAGGATAAGATTGAAATTAAATTTTATTCAAATTCAACAGAATCGCAAATGTGAAATATAACATTTCACTCAAATATTAATGCAAATAAAAAAAATGAATATATAACATGTATTTATGAAAATCAATGGTTATCATTAATAAAAATGAAAAATAAAAAAATTATATGAAAGATATTTATAATTGGAAATTTGATACATTATTTAGATGTCTAAGGAGCATTTGCCCCCTCAGTTTAATTGGTACATTTTATAGAAATTTGAAATATTTTAGTATAAAAATGAAAATATCCTGTTATTGGTAAATTAGAAACATATAGCGCCATTTATGCAAATTTCAATTTTTGTTAAACATGCATATCTCGGAAGTGCCGATTACGTCGCCTAGGCCATCTTATATATATTTATAAAAAAAGTATCTAAATTAAAGGCAACAAAAAATTTTCAAAAACGAACTTCCTTTATTGCTTAAAAACACGGGTAAAGCAATATAGGTAAACCGGAAGTAAAGACACAAATTGGCGATTCGAAAGTCACTGTTTTTCGCACCTTTGAAGCCCCGTATCTCGGGAATCTGGCGTGCTAGGTAAAATAAACGGCCTTCTCATTTTTTTTACCTATACAAATAATTCCAGAGATTTTTTTAAATAATTTTAAAAGGATTCGGTCAAATCATGATCCGTGAATAGCCCTTCTACATTATCATAAAAAGCTTCAAATTTAAATTTCTAACGCACTTTAATCGTAAAAAAATTATATATTTTGGATATTTATATAAAAATGGAAAAAATATTAACTAAATTAAGTAAATATTTTTTTTTTCAATAATAATAATTCAAAATATATTTAAAATTACAATGTAATCTTTTTAGAATTAATAAAAGGGCAACCTCTCAGGGGATGATGCTACTTCGGTTTTTGTATTATAAAGTTAAATTTTGTGATTCAATATTTATTCTAGAATAATTCAAAAGGTTAAATATTCATAAAATGCAGAACTTATCAATCTTTTGATCCCCATGTTCTTAAAAAATTCTTTATTCTTGAGGTTGAAAAATAATTTTTAGTCTCAACATTTGATATTCTACTTAGAAAGGGTAGATGGACCAAAAGAATATAATACTTTCATATGATATTTTAATAATAAAGTCCTATTTACAAAATAGAATATTTATATAAAAACTAGAAAAAAGAATTTCTAAACAGAAATGGAAATATAAATTATTTTTGAAAATGACTGGAATGGAATTGAATCATTATACATAGCATTTAAACACCCTGATAAGAATATTATAGGAATTTGTTAAATATAATTTACCTTCCCACTTTTTTAATAATCCTTATCATTTCAGTGTCTAACTAAGTGGATGTTAGACACTGTTGTAAATTGCTCTCCAATAATGTATTTGGACATGAGATTTTCAACAATAACATGATCCACAGATACTTTTAAATTTGTTATTAGTCTATAATATCTTATTTTAAGTTTGACATTACGGTTTGATATGTTAAAGTTTTTTTTAAAAAAAATAAGAAAAAGAGAAATACAGTGCTGTTAATATTTATTTTAATTTAATGTTATGAATTTTAATAAATTAGATAAATAAATAAGAATATTGATGAATTATATCTTTATTTTTTTTCATTATTATTTTTTGTACTGGCCAATGTAAATATCGGGGGTATCATGGATGTTGGTATTGATTAACAAGTGGTTTTGGTGCATCTATTACTATTGTAAGAACTTTTGATCTTTGGGATTTGGCTATTTTTATTCATTTTTTATGAAAAGGTGTAAATTGGATAATTATCAAGTTCTTTTTAAATTCTCTTACCTTCTATTTCAATTACAAATATCCTAATATATATGAATGAATATATAAATTTTACTTACATAGATACAAGAAATATTGCTATCACAAATAGAGTAGATCGAGATATTATAATTGCACCAATAATTCAAAACAAAAATATATCAAGGGGTAGTTTAGTAACATAGAAAATATTTTTGAATAAATCTGAAAATATAAGATTATTTGTATTAGTTTTATTTTTCTTTCAATTTTAAACCAATATATCATTATAATAGGATTGATTTTATCAGTTATTGGTATTGGTACTGAGAGTGTTAATTTTAAAACCAATTACCGATTTTATATGTAAACCAAGAAAATCTTGGCATTGTTTCCAGCCCTACTTGAGAGAGGGTGAACTCTCAATAATTTTTAACTACTAATCTCAAAGGAGATCTTTACGGGGGGAAAACTTCTCATTGGGATCTTTGGTATATTTATTTTCATAGAGAGTGGTTCAAACCCAGAAACTAAACAATCTATTTAAATCCGATGTTTTTTTCCTATTATATATATCAATAATTTATTTTTCTATGAAAACAGGTTTGAATGTCTACAAGTTATATTGTCAGTAATCATAAATCGACAGCTGTAAATAATTGCGTCGCCGGGTCATTTACTGGGCCAAATGACTTAAATTTAATATTGGCCAAAAGTTCTATTCTGGAAATCTATTTGGTCACACCCGAAGGCCTAAAACTCCTCAAAGAGTTTCCTATTAATGGAAAAATTGTCTCGTTACAATTATTTCGTTCGATAACAAACGCTTCTGCCAAAAGAAGTCATTCACAAAATTCTTCTTCAGATACTCAAAAAGAATTTTTATTTCTACTCACTCACAAGTACCAATACTCATATTAAATCTGCATAGGGCCTACTTTTTCAAGCCCGGACCAAAATTTTTTTTAAAAAATTATTTGCTTGGACCAATCCTAACTCGACCTAAAATAGACCCAGCTCTAACCAATTTTTTTAAAAAAATGGGCCCAACCCAGCTTGGCCGGAAGTTGGTTTGAGCTGGATATGGATCGGATCTACTTTTAGAGTTCTTTAATTTATATCATTTCATGAATTTTTTTATTCAGGTACAACGTTTGTATTCTGGAATGTAACAGAGATCAGAATGACGTCATCCAGATTTCGACTAAGGCCTATGGCAATGTTCAAGAAAAAATTGGACGCCCATCTGAAACCGGTAACACCGTTAAATCATATAATCCAAAGTTTTTTTATTTCAAGTTTTTTTTATTTGATTATTTATTTTTCTTTATCTAAAAAATAGGCATGATAGCTTCTATCGATCCTGAAGGAAGGGTTATAGGACTTAGGCTTTACGACGGGTTGTACAAAATTATAAAACTCGATGATCAAAATTTCCTCCACCAGGATGATAAAAGCGCTTTTGAATTCAACTCTAAGCATGAGATAAAAGCCTTCAACGTCAACATAGAAGAGCGCAAAATAATTGATATCACATTTCTGGATGGCTTTGAAGTATTTTTCAGTGACCGACTTGTAGACCTGTATCTTTTTTATAAACAGAATCTTATTTTAAAAAAATCAATTAACCAGTTTAGAAATCACATGTTGAAACATTTAAGCATTCATTCGTTTCTCATGTTTTGAAAGTCGGTTCAGACCATAATGTGATCAATGATCAAATTTAAAAAAAAATCAAGCCGGGCCGAAAAGTCTAATATGAGTTTAAAATAGAAAATGGGTACTTTTTCAGGCCTGTTATTTATTTATTTATTGTTTTATTTGAATTTTCGTCGTTGGATTTTAAATCTTTATATGGTTAGATGGCACCAAATCTTTAGAAAATTCATTGTGATATTTTAGACTTAGGTATGTAATAAACTTTAATGGACTAACGAAAATATAATTCTCTCATTACGCATTTTATTATTTAAATTTGTTTCCCCTTCCTGGCTGTCTACCTAAATGGAATAGGTACCCATGCTAGCCCTCATAAATCAGGACAGTGAAGGCCGGCACTTTAGAACTTACAAGCTGAGCGATCGCGATTTGATTCACGGGCCTTGGAACGAAAACAATATCGAGGCCGAAGCGTCTATTTTAATCCCCGTTCCCGCGCTTTTAGGTGGGGGAGTGGTTATAGTCGGCCAAGAATCCATCATGTACTACAGGGACAATAGTCCCTTCGCTATAAGACCACCCGTTATGAAACAAAATTCTATCACCTGTTATTGTAGGATCGATCCCAATGGCAGTCGGTAATACCATATCTATTCTATATAGTAATAAATTTTTGGATAAACTATTAGGGGTTTTTGAATATATTATTTACTAAAGCCAAGACAATTTATCTAACTATTTTCCTTGTAGTTTAATTATTTTTTTAAATAATATTGGCTTATACTGATAATTACTTATTTAAAAATATTATGGTATCTCAATATTGAATAATATAAAAAACAACAATGGCCCCATAATTCATATCGTTTATTTGAATGACCTTTAACTAAAAGCTATCTCCTTGGCGACATGGGTGGTCGGCTTTTTATGCTTTTACTGGAGGCTACTTCATCTGGTCCAGCTGGCCCTTTCATTATCAAGGATATGCGCTTAGAAGCCCTGGGTGAAACTTGTATTCCTGAATGCCTCACTTACCTAGATAATGGAGTAATCTACGTAGGTTCTCGTCTGGGTGATTCTCAGCTCATCAGACTCCGAACTAATCCTATTCAAGTCAGTTCGAATCAAAATTCTGTCACCATGGCATCTTACATTGAAGTTTTAGAGAGCTTTACTAATCTGGGACCCATAGTGGATATGATAGTTGTTGATGCTGAGCGTTCCGGTCACAAAGATCAACTCGTTACTTGTTCGGGGGCATTTAAGGATGGTACAAATCATTACTTTTGATAATTTAAGGCTAAGATTAAACATGTTTTTTTAGTATGAGCTAGGCCATTAATTATTCCATCACGAATGTTCGCTATTTATTTGCTGATAAAAATTTTATTGAATTTCAATGTCAAATAAATGAAAAAAGGAACATTTCCGACTTTTTCAGTTTCAATATAAATATGTGGAGAGGTAAATGTTATAATTAGATGATAAACTAAATTGATTGCTAGCTTTTATATTACCCAAGATAATAAGGGTTAAAAATGCAAAAAGCGTAATTGTTACCTTTTTTGGATTGCAAATAGTATTAATTAAAAAATAAAGCAATTTAAATATTATATTTGGTATTGTGACTAATAAAAGAATTATAATTAGGTGGGGGGATAAACACAAATGAAATTTTTTGTTATGCATGATCAATTTATATCCAGTTTAAAGTTTTAAAATTAAATTTTTATAATTGAATATTTTATATATACCAGGCTCTCTGCGCGTGCTCCGCGATGGGATAGGCGTTACCCAAACGGCATGCCTTGACCTGCCATGTGGCATTCGCGGTCTATGGACTCTCAAGAATGCAGTAACCGGTGCAGACTCTCATCTCGTGCTGGCCTTCGCTTCATCGGATCTCTCTACCAGAGTTATATCATTCGAATCATCGGGAGGTTTGTTATGAGCAATATGACAATCTTACCATAATTTCCATACTATTATTCTAATCTGACATAGTTTTGTCCTTATTTAGCTAAAAAAAAATTTTTTTATATGTAGAAATACATATAAAGAAAACATGGTAATTTTTTAATAATCTATTATCAACTCTCAAGAGGCTTTTAGAAGCTGGGTATACTTTATTTATTAATACATTTATTTATGTAAATATATCTAATATGCTATAATACAAACAAAGGAATCGTATTGTTAAACTGCTCGATTTCAAATATTTTATCCAGAAAAATATTAAGCAAGCCTAAAGATTTTGTTTATAGATGGCAAAGGTTTGAACATCTATTACCGATTGAAGCATAGGCAATATTTTTCAGGTTAAAATATTGAGTTATCCTTTTTAAAAAATCGACTCTCAAATCGAACCGTTTAAAAACAATATGAAGGAAGAACATTTGTTATTATTAAATTTACAAGGTTAAATAAGAGAAAAATTCAATGGCCTCTCATTTTATTCTAAACCAGACTATATTTCTTCAAAATTTCATCCATTTTTTATTGAACACATTTTTAAAATTATATTTTCTTGGAGGCCGAAATGCACTATCTTAATTTATAATTTTAAAAAGAAACTATTATTTGAAAATTGGTAGCTTAGTTTATAATTAGGGTTTTTGAACCTGGGAATATCTCATGAGAATTTATTCCAAGGGAAAGGTATTATTCCAAAAATTTTCAAAATTTAAATATTTTTAAAAATCGTTAGAAAAACAGTTAAATCTTTTTATCTTATAAATAATCATGAATAGCTTGGATATAAATTCAAATATTCTCGTAGCTCATATTTAACAGTTTTTGTTTATTAAGCTTAATAACAAATATATTTTATTTGACAATGCAACTTTTCCCAAAATAGATTACGTATGCCTATAGGTATGATTTAATTATACTAATAGATTAAATCCTAGTTTTCTTATAAATAATCACGAATAGCTTGGATGCATTCATTTCAGAATATTCTCGTAGTTCACATTTTATAGTTTTTATTTCCTAAGCCTATTACCAAATATATGAAATCGAGTTTTGATAATATATTTTACCAAACATTTTATGTATTTTCTTATTATATTTAATTTGCATTACAATTTATCAGTCATTACCTGAATAAAGTGAGATATGGTATAAGAAATGAAAATCATTGGTTACAATTTAAGTAATATCATTAATTCCCGTTTATTCCTAAAATTCCAATGGACAGCAATTAAAATCCCTAGAATTTTCTCTTTATTTATATAAAATTTATGATTTTTGCATGGAATTTTTCCTTTATTTATATAAAATTTATGATTTTTGCATGCTCTGATAAGATCAGCCTAATCCTTTAAGTACATTTCAAGTTGAATTTTATTTTTGTAATTTAGGCGGAGTTCTTGATGTACATAAATTTCATAAGCCAACTTTGCTTTTGTTTCTAAGTCTGCTTATCGATTAAAAATATATTGTGTTGTTCATACTTGTCATTCATTTATCTGAGAGCAGTGTTATGTAAGAATAGTCGTTAAGAAGTGTACTTGGTTTTTTTACAATATGCAACCTGATACTTTGGGTTTGTTTACTTGAAAATTTTCTTTAGGTTCTGTTATTTCTTTCTCTCATCAACTAATATAAAGCAAATATCATAGTATATTTCTTATTATCTATATGATTTAAATAATTAATAAATATTACCTTCAAAATCTTATAAATTCTTACATTCAATTTAATTTAGAAATATCAATTAGTAGAATAGACATACATTATTTATAAAAAAAATGTGAAATTGTCTAAGCGAAATCGAAAATTCATTGCCTCATTAAGGACAAATTTGATATTAATTTAAGCAGCAAAATGGATTGACTTCAAATGTTAAAAGATACAAAAAAAATAAGTTAAGATTTTGCTTAAAAAATTAAGTACATCGAGGACTTCCGCCGTCTTAGAAATAAATTAAAAATAATCGAATTTTTATAAATATTTCCAATATAACGTATTGGGATACGGAATCCATGGTGATTTGGAATTTGTCAATTATAAATCATTTATCAAAGGAAATTTTTTAAAATAAAATGTATACCAGCATGTGTAGAGCACCTACCCTTAAATTTCAGAGAATTTTTTTGCTATGATCTTTTTTTTGTATTTTTATAATTCTTATATAAAAAATCAATATAAGTAAACTAGAGTTTTTCTGAAGTCCATCGCAAATGTTTGAAATTCATAGTGTGGGTACTCTTTACATGATAGAAAATACATTTTCGGTCAAATCACATTTTTAATGATTATAAAATCGAGAGATTCCATATACTAGTACGTCATGTATAAGTGATTAAAAGAATTACTAAACGGAAATGTCAATTATTCCTTCATTTTGATTTTTGTGAGGCTAACCTGCTTGGAATTATATGCTAATAATCGAAAGCGTAAATAGCTCTCATTTTGTGTTTTGCACAATATTTAGAATACATATACACTAAATTATGCTTTACGAAATTTTCATTTTTTAAATACGTTTATTACTTTTTAAATTTAATCCTATCTCAGGTGCCGAAGAGATTGAGCTTCCGGGCCTAGTAACACGCGATGCGGTAACTTTATGGTGTGGTAATGTTAGCAACAACAACATGCTACAGGTCACCACCCGCGCAGGTCGCTTGATCGATCGCATCAAGGGTCGCGTTGCCGCCGAGTGGTTTGTTCCCGGATTAGGGTTTTTATTATTTTTTAATTGTTAGTTTCTTAGCGTAAGGAAAATTTACTGTTTTTTATAAATCGAATGATATTTGCATATACTAGTTTGCTGTTTAATTTAAGTGGGAATGTAATTAGCGAAAATTCACTTATTCAGGAGATAAAAAAAAACCAAAGGGGGGGGATCTTCTTTATAAAATGCAGAGTATATATTTTCAATAATATTACACACCATTCGTAATCCTAACAAGCCTCTTAATTTATTATTTTGGGCAATTACAAAACTTTTTTAATAGTATAAGTTTTTATGTGTCTAATAAAAATTATCAAGAGTCCGTTTATTTAATGAACCCTTCATCCATTAATTCCTCGAGCTTGGTATGTTTTTATGACTTTTTTTAAAATCAATGGAAGCGGGAAAATTTATCTTTCTAAGTTTATTCACCAAAATAATATCTCCGCAGTGCCGACGGTCATGACTACCTGTACATTGTCAGGCCACCCCGGATTCATCCTGTGACTGAATTATTAGAATAAATTCATATGGACGAAAAATTGGAATAATGAGCAAACCGGACAAGATAAAGCAATACTACACTGAACCCAGGAGTCTTGATCTCCAAAATTGTTCTTTATGATGAAGCCTTAATGATACATAATTCCAAAATTTATATATGGGAAAGTTCATCTAGCCTGGTTAGAGTGCCTTCAATTAGCCAAGTCGGGATTTCATTTACGGAGACTGTTACAATTTTATGCTACGATAGTTTAAATTAAAAATTATATTACGATAGCTGATTTGTATATATGGTAGAAAATAATTCTTTCGGTTTCGAATATGAGCTATAGTTTTATAAGCCTAGACAATGATGCCAATGCTCCAAATATTCTCAATGCCAATATCCCAATTTGTATATTTTATGAAGGAAAAAAAATTCAGATTATTTTTGAGTTTATGTTTCAATTAAAATACCGGAAATGGCTTTGATAAATAATGGGAAGAATATTTTACCTTATAGATTTAAGAAAATAAAATATTCTTAATCTATTTCCACTGACACTAAAGTTCCTAAAGACGTTTTTAACTAAATCTTTCAATAATTTATTTTGAATAAAAAAATTACGAAACAAGAATGGAGATAGATCAAAATAACGAAGATAACATGCCTGATACTTCGACTACGAGCGATCATGTTTCGATTACGGTCGCGGCCTGTAATGGAATCCAGTTGTGCTTAGCTTCCGGTAGAGATCTGTTTTATTTGGAAATCGGAAAAAATGATTTGATCCTTAAATCTAGGAAAACTTTCCCCCACGAAATCGCTTGCTTGGACATAAGCCCTTTACCACGTTCAACCGAAACCCATGAGTTTATGGCAAAACATTTATTACACCATATTTTAATATGCTAAGTTTTTGTAAACTAATTTCTTTTGAGAAATATCGGGACATTAAAAAGAATATCATATATAAACGAGACTATGACTGATGGTTTTTTCAATAAAATAAAAGTGTACATATTGGGAGGTCTGCAATAAGCAAATTTTTAACCAGAACTCCCGCCCTCGTTTTTAATTTTTTTTCATTCGCTCGCTCATCCGCGATTTTTTTAAACTTCACTCACCAATTCATTTATCTAAAAATAAATTATTTTATTAGTTGGTTTAGCCCTTTATTTTATTTTTTATATATTTTTACTTTAATTTATAAGATTAAGCAATATTATGAAACAAAAAAAATTAATTTTTGAATAAATGTAACTCCGTCCTGATCATGTCTCCCCAAAAAATATTTCATATGTTTAGGCCACCCCTCACCCCAATGTTTTTTAACTTGCCTACCCTCACCCATGGTAGGGAACAGATAGATTTAAAAAGACACCCCCTGCAGACCTCTAGTACATAAATGAAATCCGCCATTGAGAAGATATTTAGTTTAGATTAAATGACTTTCATTGATGTCTACTACAACCAATGACCTTTTAGGTTAGTATTAATGCTAATGAGTGATTGATTGCGCTAAATAGCGTTAAAATACTAACAACACATCATATATATATAAATGACACACATGTCTAAAGCGAAGTCGATTCTTCATCTCTGTCTCCCAATGCTAGCAAATTTTGCGCCGCCGGCTTTTGGACCGAGGTGGCCGTGGAAATATTATACCTACCTTCCCTCGATATGGCTCACAGAGAAGTCTTGCCACGCACCGATATTATTCCTAGATCGCTTATAATGTGCCACTTCAGGGACGAGGAAGAATCAACCGGATCGGTTGCAAAGCAGCGCGAGGTTAACAAAGAAGGATCTATGAATGACGAGAATTCAATGGGGGAGGAAAATGGGTAATTTTTGTGCTGTTTTGTTATAAACATCGACTCTGATTAAAATTTATAAATTAGTGAATTGGATAGCAGTTTTCAAAAGAAATTGATTCTGCAGAGGGCTGGTCTTCATTGTTAAAAATTTTTTAAAACGTTATTACACAAAAAAATAAATGAATTTATAAATATATATAAAACAAAACAAGCAACCATTGCTGTTATTTGCTGGTAGCCCTCGGTGATGGAACCTTGTACCATTACTCTCTTAGCCCCTTGCGGGGTCGTATGAGCCAAAGAAAAAAGTTTATAGTCGGAACTCGCCCCCCTTCACTTAAACTCATACCCTCCGCTAGCCCTCTGCCGGCCCATAACGTACTAGTATGCTCGGACCGGCCCGCCGTCGTTTATATGCGCAATAAAAAATTGGTTGTTTCAGACGTTAATTTAGAAGAGATTAGCTACGCGTGCCCTTTCGATTCTCCTGCATATCCGGATAGCTTAGTCTTGGTGCCTTCCGCCACGTCCGGTACCGTCGTCATTGGTAACGTTTTATATAAAAAAATAATGTCTAACAATTACAATAAATTGGGCAAACCTCGAGATTAATTTAAAAAAAAATTATATCACGATTTGTGGAAAAAATTCAACTCAAAAATGTTAAATTCTGTTTGCTTAATTTTATATAGTATTATTAAATAGTCGAGTTTTGTTCGACTCAGAGTCTGTGCCGATTAAGTTCACTAGCTCAAGTTATGAAATAAATGTTATTTATATTATTTGAGTTAGAATTGAAAATTTGACTTTGCAAATTTGCATACTTAATACACTATTTTTTAAGATTTTTTTAATATTTATCTTGGATGTCAGCCAGCTGGATGATAGGGCTGGACCAGACAAATTGTTTAGAATATTTTTACGAGCTTATCCATAGTTTTCTCTTTATTATACATGCCTGATAAAATTCTTTAAAAGCACCCACGAATGTTTTTTTTATAACTAGGATATCTAGTCCTGCATCTACATAAGAAAAAGGGAGGGGGGGGGGTAGGAGTAATTTGCTTCCTATATTTTTATAGGTTAAAATGAAAAATAAACCATATTTGTAGATTAAAGGCAAGGAAAAATGCTAAATCCAAATTAATTGCATATATATTTTGATTTTAGTGCTGAATTAAACGGCTTGGATTCATAAATCGAGTTAATAACTTACGTTTTCGACTCGATTCATAACGTGGGCCACCGGTTTACCTTCATAACTTGAGTAATCGAGTCAACTAGACTTATTAAACAAACTAATCTTATATAACTCTTAAAATTTATAAATCAGAAAAATATATATTTTTAAAAAAAATTAAATTTTAAAAATTATGTAAATCGTAAAAATAAGCTACTATCGACGAAATTCGCAAACTGCATATTCGAACCATACCTCTATATGAATCCCCACGACGCATAGCTTATCAAGAGAGTTCCCATACGTTCGCATTGCTTACGGCTCGGATAGATGTTTACAACGGTAAGCGCCACGTTTTTATATTAATATTTTAGGGCTGGTTAATAATAATTGAAAAAAATGATATAATTCGTCTAATTACAATTTATTTTATATTTGCAAGTAAAATTTAGTTGCCAAATTAAAAGGAAAGGTGAACAAACACAATAAAATCAATCTAAAACAAAATGACTACTCATATGTTGCCTCTTCTTTGATCACCCAGCCAATGTACTTCGCCTGAATGGCAAAAGAGAATTAATTAATTCATATATCTGTAGAATCTGTCAACATTTAGGATCGAAATTGATAAATATTTAACATTATTATATTGATTGGTAACTATTTGTAAAACATTTCAGGTACGTCCTTTGTCCCTCACCAACCTCAAAGTGTTAGTTGCAAAGCACTAAATCACTCGTCCAGTTCTAGCTTTTCTTCGTCATCCACTACCGCTACCGGCGCTTTTAATAGTCACAAACAAGGTGGTGGAGGTCATATTGCGGAGGTCGGAAGTTCTGGCGGTAAAAAAAATCCCCTCTTTTTTAAATTTTATAAATGATGACGGACCCATAAATTTCCATATATATATTGGTAATCTATACGATTAACATTTGTTTAATTTTTTTAAAAAGGAATTTATTTTAATTGAATATATAGTCTAACCCCACTTATAACTAATATGAAATATATATTTATTTACTATATTATCTCATTGGATTATTTTCGACAATTAATTAAATATCATATATACCGAAAATAACCAAGCAGCACCTGGATCATCGTCAACCCAATCTAACCTTAACAATTATAATACAAATGGGTCTACCCCCAGCCCTTCCTTTGGTGACGAATCTGAAGCATATTCCCTGGTAATATTAGACGCTCACACTTTCGAACCCTTTTGGGCTCATCACTTCCAACCAAACGAATTCGCCACTAGCATCATATCATTTCCTCTAGCGGGATCTAACAATACCCTAGATTTAGAAACCCAAAATGGCAATCGTTCCTATTCGAGAAATGGTATTTAAAAATAAATAATCGCTTTTTATCAATGTGAAAATCATTTATTCTCCCTAAACGATCATTTCTTATGATCATTAGAGGAAAATTCTGTCTGAATAAAAATAGACCTGAGACTACAATATGTTGAATAAAGATTGTGCCGAGTTAACATCTCTTACCAATGAGTTCCAATGAAAATTGTATATCATTAATATACATTGGAGATCTACTTGGCTTGTTTGATCAACCCGCTAAAATATTTTTGCGTATTGGGGCTGAAAAGATCATAACATAATTATGCTTATTAGCCAGCCCGAAACATGGGCTTTACAGAAATATGTCTAGGGTGGCAAGGAAAATTATTTATATTTTTTTCGAATTATAATATGCTGAATGAAACTTTTTTAGCAGGGATCCAAACCGAACCCTTAGACTTATTTCCCAAGCATAACCTGAACCGTTAAAAATTTTGTCACCCGAAGGACCCCTAAAGCTGGTTGTAAACCTGTTTAAAACATTTGGTATCTTGACTTAAAAATGTTATTATGAATTTTGATTAATAATAATCTTCACAATTTTTTAGAAAATTGTACATTGCTATTTGACAGTGCCAGCTACTCTGTCAATATTGTATGCTAGTTTGAAGATTTTGCTCATAAACGGCACAGAGGTTTGGACATCTTTTAGCCAAATCTCGTGGCTTCAATATTTTTTAGCAATTTGACACTACTCTCAACGATATAATTTATTCTTCCTCCTTATAAGTTATAATTTGACCAAGAGAATCTAGAAAATTAATTTGTAACGGCTTAATTTTAATTGTATTTTTCAGGGAATAGTGATAGAATTTAAAAAAACACGTGCTTCTCTTTGTACAATTTTAAGTTTATATGCATGAAAGGTTCACAACGATATTTAAACCAAACCGTTATTATTATTTTTTATGAACTATCTAAACCGTTATTTTATCTAAACCGAACAGATAAACTATAACCAATACTTAATAACTTATCGATTGTTTCAATAGAGAATGACATCGCAAACAATTTGAATATTGAAAAGTTAATAGAAAATATTTTGCAATATAAAAGTCGCTGCATTTTTAATCATTTAAAGTTGACGGGGAATCAGCTGCGAAGGAGCTATACATAGTTGGAACCGCTATGGTTTACCCGGACGAACCCGAACCCAGGCAGGGAAAAATTATGGTTTTCGAATTTTCCAAAACTACTGCCGCGGATGAAAATGCTCAGAACAATTTGTTACAAAATAACGAGGATTCGACTGGTCAAAATGCGGATTCTTATAGGTTATTTTTTTTAAAAAAAAGCAATGAGATGGTCAATATGAAGATGCTAGACCCGAAAACGGGTTCAGGAATTTTAAACTATTTAATAGAAATTTTGATAACAAGAACTTAATCAAAAACCTATTTTCTAAAGAAGGTCCGAGCCGGCCCTATTTTCATATTATCCCAGGTTTGATGGGCTACACATTAATCGGTCTCTGTTTAATTTATGGACAAAAGGTTTAACCAAACAATTCTAACTTAATTCGAATTCGGGTCCAGAACTCTGGTCAATATATCTTGTTAGGCAAAAAAAAATTTCTCCTACCTATTTTAATCCCCCTCACCTTTCATCACAAATTTTCTCTTAAATCATTATTTATAGCTAGATTAATTACTCACTTACCTTATAAAACTTACTCCTCACATCTGTTTATTAATGTCCATTGTAAAAAAAATCCTCAATAAAATATAGGCTTATGCCCCGAAAAATATTGGTGTTATCTTGTCCTATTCTTCGTATTCTTTTTGCCTTGATTGAATATTACTATGATAAAAATAAATTTTAAAAAAATAAGAAAAGTTAAAAAATATAATAGGAGTTAGAAAATATTTTCTATTCATATGCGCCGCTACTTTCCAGGGCTTAGATCTAAGGAGACATTTGACAATGGGCTGTGGATAGGTTTGGATTAAAAAATGTAGATTTTCCAGTTCTCTATTTTACCCCCCTTCTTCAAGTAGGATAAAAGTTTTAATCCGGAAATTAATATTAATATTCAGACATTAATATATAGAGATCTCATTTATTGTGCCTTCTATAAATCATACATTTTACAATGTTTTTGAAATTTTTCCACTTTTAAGCTTAACTACTTAAATCCTCTTGATTAAACGAGTACCAATTTTGAACTGTTATTTTTCAGCGTTTGGAAAAAAAATGCTCAAAAAATTTTGAAATTTTTTTTAACAATGTTTGATATTATCTTGGAAATTTTTGTATGAAAATTACAAAGATTTACTTATAAAAATATAGCATTTTTAGGTAAAATTTGATCAAAAAACTCTGATCTTCTTTTTTCAAACCATTTTTTTTTATAAGTGATATTTGTTAAGGTGAAAATGATACTTTTCAGGTTTGAAATCGTAAATTAAGTTTAAAATGTTACTTTTTGCGAGGTTAAATATTATATATTTTAAAAATATAATTTAGACATTGTTCGTAAGCGCATTTTAGAAAGTTTTAAACGTGTCAAAAAATGATTATAAAAATCAGAATCCCAAGCAAACTGTATTATCACTACCCTTGAAGTCAATATAAATTTTATTATTATAAGTATGATTAAAATTTTAAACATCCACCAAAAAAATTAATTAGTTCATATTTGTCGTTTTCATTTAATTTTTTTAATCTAAAAAATAAGATTGCAAAGTAATATATAATTAAATGCCTCATCCTTATCAGAATAAAAGATCCCATCCATTACCCCTCAAACTTTTGACCTTTTTAAACAATATAAATATAATAGTCTCCATAATATTAATCATCTAATATTTTCACTATACCCAACTATATTTTGTTTCAGACGTCTGACCCTAATTAGCGAAAAAGAAATCTCTGGTGCTCCTTATTCTATGGCCTATTTCTCCTCTTCCCCTTTATCCGGTTCTGCGTCATTCCCTTCTCAATCTCCTTCCTTACCTTCCCCGCCTACCAATAACAAACTTATCGCGTGCGTCAACAGCACAGTCCGACTTTTCGAGTGGGTCCCCGCTGATCGGGAATTGCGACTGGAATGCTCCCACTTTAACAATGTACTAGCCCTCCACCTTAAGACTCATTTCAATACTCTGGTTTTGGTTGGAGACCTGATGAGATCCCTCACACTTTTAGAATATAGGGCGGCAGAGGGTAGATTCGAAGAATCGGCCCGCGATTTCGAAGCTGCTTGGACTAGTGCGATAGAAATTATTGACGCGGAAACCTTCTTAGCTGCTGAAAACTCTTATAACCTTTACGTGTGCCGGGTCGGGGACGAAGGTTTAGCTTGATTACTTACAATCAATCAAATGACTATGTTTAAGAAACTTATGATTAGTTTATGTGATTTATATTTTTATAAATTGAATCGAATTAATTGATTTTTTCCTTCCAACGTCAACTAATGAAGGTGGTCGTCTCGGTGTTGTCAATGGTGCTGATCTTGGAAATAAAAAGAAGGATGGAACTGAAGGGGCTGGCGTCACGACCGAAGGTTCCTCAGGTTAATAATAAAAGATCTCTAGATGCATAGATGCTACTGAAAACTCTAAAATTACGCATATTATTGTCAGTTATTACTTTTTGTTATTTATTCTGAATTCTAATCACAAATAATATGAGGCTGAGCACGTAATTGTAATATCTTACAGTCAATTTGATAATTACACAGATGAATTCAGTTTTTCATCCTTTATTTGTTTTTTTTTGAATTTTGACCACTTATTATATTTATTGTTTATTTATTTGTTTTGACCCGTAACCTACATAACATTTAAAATGCAGTGGTGAAATGCTATAAATTAATTATTGGAAGATGCTATAACACCCATTTTGTTTTATTCTGTCATTTCACAAACAGGCAACAAACCTAAATCAAGAAGAGATAAACGTTCAAATTTAAATGCTAATACCACCAGTTCATCTAACTCAGCCAATATTGGTGGCACTGGTTCCGTTCACAGAGGTTATATTACAAGTTATTTATTGAGTTTTTCACATTAAATCAAGGATGCTTTCAAGGGAACGGTAGAAAATGATAAATAATTTTTTTTTAAAAAATCATTTTCTAGTTATTATGTCCCCATAATTGGAAATATTTTTCATATATCCTTAAAAATTCCTAAAATAATGTTATTGATAGATGTCAGGGAAGATAATCCTTATATTTCAAATGAGTTGAAAATATTTGGAAAATTTTTTCTTCACGAGGTGTAAGCCAGTAATTTTCTGCAGAGGGTGGGGTGAATAAATTTATACTGAAGGACTTTTTTTGGAACATTACAAATTTATTGGGTGATCGTCATATAAAATTTATTATAAATCATTTAAAAAAAAGGATATTTTGAACACAAATAATAAAATATTGGAAAATACATAATATTTAAGAACAAAAAATATTATAGCTATATTATGTAAATCACAACAAACTATAGAATTAAACATTATACGATGATTCAAAAGTTAATCAAAATATGGTTTATAAATGAAAATTTAATCTTCTTTTTCTATAGCACCAATTTGTCAATAATTTGTTCTCTACTGGGTTAATCCTCGTTATTAGTTAAGTAATACTGTAAACGAACGCGTTCTTCGTGAAGTTTGTTTTTTTGAAAAAAATAATGAACGACGTTTCTTTTATTTTTGACGAACCTTGACATGAACGCGTTCCTTTTTCTTTTTTGCTAAAAAAATCTTCTTATTTTTATTTATTTGAAAATAAAAAGAATACAATTTAATATTAATCAAAAAGGGTTATTTTTTTCAGCCGTTTCCTTTATCACATTTGAATTATTTAACCAGCCACTATTTATTTGAATATTATTATTTTTAGATTAGCATAAGCATGGATGTTTTATCAAGGGTTTTATATTTTAATAGGAACACAATTTAAAATATTATAAATTATATATTTTTTAATTAAAATTTATATGATATATATATATTAAAAGTTAATAAGAATTTTTTTTAAATTTACTATTAATTTTAAACATGGCTAATATATTGTGTTAAAAAATATATGCTATTTATTTTATTAAATAAAAATTAAAAAAAAATGTATATTCATAAATTTTGAGCGAACGTGAACGCATTCAATTTTTTTAGAAATGTTCAAAGCATTAATGTTAAGTAAAGCTATTTCATTTAATCGATAGGAGTCGTACATTTGAGATAAGTATTCTCCGTAATAAAGAAAAGGTCCTTCCATTTATACTTGTACTAAATTGGTATTGTAGCCAAAATTTACATTAATCTTTATATATTTGGAAAAATTCCAAAATCTTTTTTTAATTGTGCAATATTCCGTTGATTTTCTTGGAAGATTATCTACTAAAATTAATTGGCCTTCAGATACCTCTGAATAAAATTTAGCTAAATATTTAATTTTTTCAATTTCAATATTTAATATATCTTTGGAAAGTTTTATAGGTAATAATACATGTAAATTGGTTAAAGTCATTTGATGAATCACAATTCATTAATTGATTTTAAAATGTTTCCAAAAGTGTAATAAAAACCGTTATTTTATAGTCATCCTTAATTGAATCTTTAACATTGGAACGATTTGTTTGTATAGATAATCGAGACTGCGAATATCATAATCATATAAATTCCTTTTCTCCTCAAAAATCACACAAATCTCGTGAAATTTTTAGTATTCTAAGTTATATTATTTAATAATATTCGCGATTCTCATAACCTCAATTGAAATTATTTTTTAAAAAATATTGCACAAAATTGTTTATAATTAATTAATCTATTACAACATTCCAATGTAAAATAGGCTGTCATATTGAATCTAAAAATGTATCTAGGGAATTCTTATATTTTTTCAAGGGCACTTAAAAGATCTCTTTTAGATCCAAAATGCGATAGCAGCTTGATTTGCAATATTTTTCTTGTAGGCACAAAGAAGTTTCAGAAATAATTATATTCTACAAATTCTATCTCTTTGGATATCGGAACATTTCTTTACATTCTAGAAACTTTTCCTAATGATAATTATTATTAGATAGTATTAATATTGCTCGTTGAGTCGATTTTTAAAATTGGCTAACTCAATATTTTAGCCAACATTTTTAAGAATAGGCTCATATCGAGCCATTCGACAAGTAGAGATAAATTAAATATATTTTTTTTTAGTTGGTGTAATTTTCTCATATCCAATTTAAGAAAATATACTTGCAATTTTCTTGGAATAAAATATTAATTTACAAGGAAGAAATATTTAAATTAATTTTACCTTTTTGTTAAGATTTGAATATAACCTATTTGAAATACAATACTTTTGCAATTCATAATTAATGAAAAGTTAAAAAAAATTTCATCAATGTTCTGCTAGGGGTAAGGGAGTCCCCCACACCAACTGCCTACGCGCCTGCTTCCCTGGAATCTATCAACATTATTCGAGGATAATAAAAAAGATAAACCCAATTTAGCCATTTAGAACGATCACTATTATAAATGGAAACTTCGAAACATAAATATCTAAAAATAAAAATTTTCGAATAGATCCGCACAATATCAATGCAAAGAACCCTAACAGTTGCCCATCCACACTCTTAGACGATGAAAGAAAACACTTATACCCCGTCGGACTCTACCATTTAGGCGAATTTGTCAACGTATTTAAGAGGGGTTGTTTGGTCTCTAGGAACACCGGAGATTCGGCACTCGAAATAGGTTTGATCAGCCGTTTATAATTGTTGCCCGAATTAAGATTACTAGTTATTTCATAATTTTACACTAATTTTCTAAAACTGATTTGAGCTTAATCTATTTTATCCCTGATTTTGTTTAGCTTTATTTAATGTCAGTTAGTTACATAGATTGAATATTTTTCTAAGTTTTTACCTGAATTCTAAAATTTTTTTATAAAAGTTATGAATTAAAAAAAAACGTGATTCCATTTGTTACATTATGCACAGATGTTATCAGAGACTTCCACTCGATGAAGGGGGAGGAGGTAAGTATGACGCAAGATCATCATTAAAATTAGAGGGATTGGGGATTTTAATTTTGAATTTTTACACCCAATTTTGATTGACGGTAGTGAGAGGTAAAATCATCATTGGCTTAGTGGGATATAGTGGTCTCTGGATGTTATATATTATTTTAATAAATTTTAAAATCATATACATTGTAAATAAATAATATTATATCTAATAACTTACAACAACCCTACAGGTAATCCAATATTAATGGGCACAATATCGGGTAGCGTTCATTTAATGGTTCAATTACCTCCTCGCATTTTTACTTTACTTGACCGCCTTCAAATCGCTATGGGTAAACATTTACCTACTCTGGGTAAAATAAGTCATCAAAATTTCAGAGCCTTTCACACCGAGCAAAAGACCGAACCCTCGAGAGGATTCATAGATGGAGATCTTGTTGAAACATTTTTGGATTTAAATGTCGAGGATAGAACTGCGATCATGAATCAGGTGGCTCCTGATGTAAAAGACGAAGGAAACGGAGATGCCGAGATAGAAAATAAAAAGGATGAGAATGCTTTGATTACTTCTGAAGAAATCATCAAAATTATAGAAGAGCTAGTCCGATTACATTAAACCTGTTCGAGTGATTATTCATGCTGCAACATTGTTATATTCAATAGAATTTTGTATAAAGAACTGAAAAAAATTTAATATTTGTGGACTTAATAATTCTTTTTATTTTCAACTCTTCATATTACAGATGAAGAATTATATATATACACACAACGTTTTGTAAATAAAATGTGTAATAATGGAAATGAAAACTTTTTATAAATATCTTACTAAACTATTCAAGGAAATTTAAACTTGTTGAAATTATGTAAAATATATATAATATTTATATATTTTTTGGTAATCGAAGAAATTTTCAGAGAAGCAAAGCCCTGATACTTTATTGGGTAAAAATAATTAGTTTTTATTACTAAGGCATCAATATGGTACATAGCTTCAATTAATATTTCATTATATTTATATACTATATATTAATTGACCTATAGTATACATTAAATTGATCATCACGGCAAAAAAAATGAATAAATTTAGAAGCCTAATAATTTTCCTTATTTATACATATTGTATAAAAGGAGAATCGCAAGTCATTTCATATATTTTTTTGAATAAAATTTTTCTCGAAGATTTCTCTCCCATTCATTACAAATAAGCATAAATAGGGCAAACGGCAAACTATTTCTTTTGATTTATAAAAAAAAATTTTGCCTTAATGATCAGTTTATATTATAAGTCTATTATGGTTATATTATAAAATTAATTTTTTTAAATTATATTTAGACCATGTCTTTGCAATCAATATAATGACTCGGAATTTTGTTCTTAAAAAGAATAGGAGTAATCTTCCTTTTTTTGCAAAATTCAATAATGTTTTTATGCGAAAATGCAAATTTTCTCTTTGATTTTGCTTATATATATTGTTTAAGAACAATAATATTATTTTTGACAAATTTAAGAATATGGTAAATAATCTTATATTAATTTAAGGCGCATATTTAAATAAATCTAAAATTAATGGTTACCGGAGTTGCTAAAATAAGTCTTATATTATTTTGATACAAATTAGACTTTCACCGCTATTAGAATCAGACCACACTTCTAGTAAAATAATTTATATTTTCTATTAAATGATCTTAAAATACAATTATCAATAGGTTATTTATAATAAAACTGTTTTAAATAAATTCAAGGAAATTATGACTCTCGGTACTTAACTAAAATTTTAAATATTTAATTTAGATGAAATATTTTTAATTCGTGAAAAAAATTATATATTTAAAAAAAATCAATAAAATTATAATAAATATAAAAAAATACAAATAACAATTTACAAGCTATATTCTTTTTTTACAATCTTATTTCTTATATTTGCTAAATTAACGGTTATATCTAGGGTTAGAATAGTCTATTGATCAAGACTATTTGACGAATCAAATATATAAAAAATTATATTTACCAAAACACTTAAAATTTAGTATTCAAAAAAATTACTTAAAATAAGTGATTACTTTTTTTGAAAAGCAACATTAAGGATGTAAAAGAGCCCTTAGACTAAAAACAGACACTAATTTAATTTGAAAAAATTGAGGCTGTTATACCCAAATCGGGCGGTTAAACTACACTTATCCAAGCAGTATAAAATAGGAATATATATTGACAATTCTAAAATTTGATACTTTTATATCCAAAAGTTTTATACAAATTTTTTATTACAAAAATAACCTTGTGTTTAATATTTTTATATTTATTTATATAAAATTACCTAGATATTATTTCCAATAAACCTATATTAAATTATTACAATATAAATTTACATATTAAAATTGAGAATCATCATATTTTGAAAACTTTATTATTCGTTTATATTTATACGGCCTTGAACAAGATATAATTATTTTGGGTTTTTGTTGGTCACTAATAGAGGCAGTCATAGGCGTAGCCAGGATGGGGGGCAATGGGAAATCCCCCCTTCAGAAATTTATCACTTTTTGTGAATATCATTTTAAGCTAATAAAAAATATCCTCCTTAGTTCTCCCCCCACTTCCTGACCCACAAAAATATATGCATATATTTTAAACAATTTGAAAGAAAGAATGTAAAAGATATTTTTTTTTATAAAACTGTTCATCATATATATATATAAAGTGAACCAAAAATGCTTTTTAATACAAGCTAAAGATAAGTCTTAAGACAAAAGTGAAATGTATTATAATTATTAATAATAGATCCATAAAATTACTAAATAATATAATATATCAAATATAATTTTTAATAAAGTTAGTAATTTTAATTTATTTATCTTAATAAAAGTAAAATATAATAATTAAACTATTGATAAAATTAAATCATAAAAATAAAAAAATTAAAGCACAATACAAACAGTGGAATATTATATGTCGAAGATTTACAGTATATCTAATTTTATCAATTATCATATGACAATCAAGTAATTTTTACCAATATAGCGAATTATATATTTTATAGAAAACTAAACAATAATGATAAGGACATTAGAAAATATCTTTTACAAACATTGTGGGATAAATAATATGAAGAATAATTTTTAATTTTTTATATAAAATAAATAGATGACATTAAATAATTGAATGCAAATTGTTGCTCTATTTATTACCAAGAGCATTGATTAGTAAAATTTGTTAAAATAACTCAAATATATTCTCTAACTATCAAATATGTCTGTGAAAGTGGAATTTTACCTAGTATTTCGAAACTAAATCTGTATAATAAAGGAATATCAACTATATGTCTACTTACTTTTTATAAATAAATTTCTTATACTCGTTTGGAATAAATTATTACCATGCTTTATATTAATGTTATATTTTTTATAAACTAATAAATATATATTTCATATTTGTTCTAGGCCTTTTTTTTTTATTAAAATTAACCTCCTACCTTGTAAAAATATTTTGAGTATATATAGACTAAGGTAACCCGGCCAAAGCCCGAGCAAAATAGGGCCGAAGGCCCATCCCCCCAAATGGGGTCTGGGGGCGAAGCCCCCAGTATTTTTTTACCCCCCCCCCCTTAGGAAAATTCTAGCTACGCCTACCCATAGGAAAATTCTAGCTACGCCTACCCTTAGGAAAATTCTGGCTACGCCTATGAAGGCAGTTGTTGTTTTGTACATATTAGTAATAGTAATTGATTATTATATATTAACTAATTTAACTTATTTTATTGGTGGCCAACACTCAAAAAAACTTTATAAAAAAAATAAGAGACACTATTATTAATTTGATTTAGAAAAAAATAAATGTATATTTAAATATGTTAAGTAATAACCAATGAAGAGGTCAAAAATTACACAATAGAATACGATTCTATTATGATTAAATTATCATTGATTAGCAATCCTTTGACTGTTTGTTGCAATTTAAACTATGCACTATGATTTCAAATTTATTATATATCAACATTTTTGTCATGTTGAATTATTTAAGTGTTCATTCATTTTTGAACATATGATTTTTTAAAATGTTTAAAAAACTTTTGCTAATTATTAATGAAAATTATATTAACCAAATAGCACTTCTGAATGATAAGCTTGAAGCCAATGATATATTGTTTATATATTATAAATCTGATTCTTTATTAAATTTGAATGGCGGAAATAAAAATAATTTAAATAAATTACTCAAAAATATATTTCAAATCTACACATATTTTACTCAAAAATTATTTTTATTAAAGTATTATAGAATATTATTAAGAATGATGTTTTGAATTATATTTATAAAGAATAGATGTCCGAATATTATTATCGCATTTGAAAGATACCAAACATATTTATGAAAACTTTGCATTTGAAAATATATATGTCTTAACTAATATTGAGGTTGATGGAATTTTAGCAACATTCTCTCCAAAATTACGAAATATTAAATATATTTTAGAAGAAAATTTGTCAATAATTAATGAGAAAATAAATATAGTTATTTTAAACAATTGTATAACAATAAAACCACTTTTTGATGTTGTTGCCTTTGGAGGGACATTTGATAGACTCCACAATGGCCATAGATATTTATTGACACATGCTTGCCTAATTTCTAAGACAAAATTAATATGTGGCATTACAGATAACTCAATGCTAAATAGTATATTGATTATATTTTATATTTTTTATATATATATCCTATTTGTTACATTATTAAATTTTAAAATTCTTTTCTAAAAATAATATTTTTAAATGAGTTTTATTTAAAAAATAATTTTAACTTGTCTTTCATATCAGTATTTTTACAAAATGATTTTATAGATAAGGAATTAGGTGATTTGATATGTCCCATTGACCAAAGGAAACATGATGTACAAGATTTTTTGACTAGTGTTGATTCAACCCTCCAGTAAGCAAAAACTATAAACAAAATTATAAAAAAAATGGACTGCTTATTTTTATTTTCCAATGCTGAATTGGTTTTTTCAATACTTTGATTTTTATCTATATTTATACCTATTTATTCAGCTTGGATGTTACAATAAGTTACAATTTTTAAATATTTCTAGATTTTCCACACCAACATTGTATGACATCTATGGACCTACAATTTTTGAACCAAATATCTCTTGTTGTGTTGTGACAAAAGAAACTACCAAAGGTGGGGAAAAAATCAACGAAGAAAGGATTAAAAGAGTTTAATAAATAATCACCCCAATAAACAATTATTATATTATGATTTTATTTCTATAAATCTAATATGTCAATCAGAAGTGGCATATTCCTTGTAACCAATCAATCATTGCTTCAGTGTTGGTAAATCCTCTATCTTTTAGCCGAGTTTGATCTGGATCTAAAAACGATGAAACGAAGTTGATTGACAAAAACTTTCACCTTAATTTCAAGGTATTCACCAAAAAGATAGTTCAACCTTCAAGGATGTTGAGTCAGATTAGCCAATGGCGCAATACTAATTTGACCATTATTGTATTTATTTTTGAATCCACATATAACTGCTGCTTTCCTAACTATTACATTTATTTTTGAATCCAAATATAACTGCTGCTTTCCTCTATAATACCATTTTATTTGTTTTTAACTTTTATATTACTTTTTAGGGTTTACAACCTCTCCAACTTTACATCGTGGATTACGTAAGTGATTTAGAAGAAACCGACAACCCAGGTATCGAAAAAGTTAACAATTCCTCACCGGCACTCAATCATAATCACAATGGCAATAATGAGACCCTTCAAGTAAAACTTAGTTCAACCCATCTTAGAAAGTTATCGTTGGGAACCTACGTAGAAAAAGTATTTTAAATATCAATGAAGTGCAATTTTAAAAGGGGCTTTGTATTTAAATTAGTTATGTTTTTGCTAGTTTTTTTTAAAAAATAAATACTGGAAAATTCTTTTGAAAAGGAAAATAATTATGAGGCAACTATCTCAGTCCTCGGATCTCAATGAGTGCCACTTTTTTGCTCCCCCCCACCCTTTTATATGTTTTTTTTTAATATAGTTTATATTTCTTTTAAAATTGTTTACATGATTTTTAAATATTGATTTACATTTTTTTTTGAGTGAAATATCGAAACCTTATGTACAATTCGCAACTCTATCACCACTCGCGACTATGATAAGAAATCATATAATTTTATGGTTCTTTTTTTTAAGATGCTTTTATTTGAGTTTGACATATTTGATTTAAACGTTAGTTTGAAATATACATATAAATTTGTAAAAATAAAGTAAAATATAAAATTTAAATATTATTTTGTATTAAATTTAATCTATCAAAAAAAAAACCATAAAAGGAGCAATTAATCTAAATTTTTTAATATGCAAGTATTAAATTTTATTTTAGAGAAAACATTAATATCATTAACCCTTTATAGAGAGGTCATAGGCAAGTAAATATTTTTTTAGACGTAAATATAAATGGAAATAATACAGGAATGTGAAAATAACGAAATCATATAAATAACAAATCATCGGTTTAGTATTATAGTGTTCTATATTTAACATTTTTGCAAAGAGCCTTTTTTTTTTATAGATAAATCAATTCTTTTCAGTACCTTATTCTTCCCATATCAGCAAACATAATTCCCGATTTGGATCGATTTTTAACAATGGCTCGATTAAGATTTTAAGCCAAAATAATATAATGCAATCTTCGAGATTTGGCAAATAGAGATCCAAACGCCATATAAGTGCAAAATCTAAAATCTTACTTATTATTACTTTGGCTAAAATCTATTTTCAAAAATCGAACAAAATTGGGAACATTGTTATTGTTAATATGGAAGAAATAACAAATGCTAAAATATAATTTAAAATAATTCTTCGTTAGCATTATTATAATGTGATCTCTTATTTCAGTTTTCAATTAATACTTAAATGCTCTCTTGAAATTTTTTTAAAAATGGATTTAGTTAGAACATTATAATTCTAATACTCAGACAACGAAAATGTAATTTTGAGTGAAATTAGTATACTGTAAAATTTTAAATGATTTCATTTATAACGGTAGTACAGGAAATGCGATCCTTTTAAAGTAACGTTTTGCAATATTTCTTGTAACATTCTGCGTTTTCCTTTTATTTTTGTTTTGAGTAACATTTGGTGTTACGCATTAGCGTTACTTTTTAAATTAAATAAAATCACTTTTAAAATAAACTCCATTTATAAAATAATCTCTGCTTAGGGTTGTATATATATAAAATTAACATTCTGTCCACTTTAAGAAATAAAATTAATGCTCTATTTAAATAATGGTTTTTATTATATTTATGGAAAATGGGAAAGGGTGGGGGGGGGGGGTAGATAAAAGTAACTACGCATACTCGCAAAAAACGTTTCGCTCTTATATAGAAATTTTTTGAGAGTGTGCTCTAATTAAATTTAGACGGAATATAAGAGTAACTCAACACGCATGCTCGGAAAAAAATTTTCTCTCGTATATAGAAATTTTTTAGGTGTGGGCTCCAATTAAATCTAGACGTTCTCGGCCCCCTTTTGTCCACTAATGAAATATTTTTTAATTATTACAAAAAAGATATGTTCTTCTATTTTAAAAAAGCATCCTAATTGTTTCTCGAAAGGCCGCGCTATTCGTTTACCTTTTTCGATTTCCTCATCGCTATACATAATAGGCTTGACTGGTGGAATATGCTCGGGAAAATCTCGCTTCGCCCATTTATTCGCCTCCTCATTCTTTTCTACTTCCGCAACCGATACACCTAAAAAGTTAGGCGAACTCAAATTTAATCACCCTCCGCGAATAATCGACTGTGATGCACTGTGCCACGCCATATACGAGGAGGGGAGTGTTTACGATTCTCATATCGTGGCGGAGCTGACTAGAAAGTTTGGCATTGGGATTTTATCCGAACTTGGCCATGGTAAGATAGACAGGAAGAAGTTGGCTGGTCTCGTCTTTGGAAACGAGGTATTTTTTTAAAAAAGTATGGCAGTATCCTGGTTTGTCTTATATCTAAACAACGGTCTGTCCCGTCTATATAGCTTCCTCTAAACCAGTGTTGTTAAAGTCAATTCATATTCTAATATTATAGAAAATTTATTGACCGTCATTGAACAGCTATGTCCATTAAATTGTTTTTACTCCTAATGAAATTTAAGATACAACCCATTACTTTTATTGTTTTTCATATTCTTTATCATTAAGTTTTTTTTAGATGTAAAAACTAATTAGTTAATTAAGGGTTTTTTTTCTTAATTTTTTTTAACATAAACTTAAACATCATCCTATTCGATCGATAATTTGAGCAATTTACTAATAATTTTTTTTTTTAAATTAAAAAAATATATATAAGTATGTAAGTGTTTTTAAACGACTGGATTTAAGCCGATTTTTGAAAACGGCTAACTAAATATTTTAACCAGAAAAATATTGCTTAGGTCTTGAGATATTTTTAATAGATGTCTAAACTTTTGTCCTATCTATGAGCAAAATTGTTAGGCTTGATAATATTTTTCTATATAAATTATTGAGTTAGCAATGTTTAAAAATCGGCCCAAATTGAGCCCTTTAACAACATTACAAATGTGAACGTATCTATGTTATAATTTTTTTCGATTTTTTTAAAGATAAAACTAAATTAAAGCATTTTTAAACTAATATAATAATTAAGAGATAGGCCGAGTGTTTAACTGATAATTAATATTACAATAACCATTATTGTATTGTAATTTTTTTCCTCTTCATATTTTATTGAATTATTTTTTTTTGTCACCCTTTATTATAGTTGGGAATGTAATAAGCCTTTCTATATGTAAAATTGAAAACTTTATCACATATATTCTCTATATGAAATTTTATGTTGAAATTTAATAGTCACGAAAATAAAATTTATGGCAATGTTAGGGTTTAATTAATGATAATTTTCAAAATTTCACCGTACAGAAATGTTTAACTTAACAGTATATTTATTTTTTTTTTACCCTTTTTTTTTTGAATAAATTGGTTTTATTTTTCTTTAAAACAATAAATATAAAAAAAAATATAATTGATAATAATAATGAATTTCCACTTTTTTTTTTTAGTTTATATAAGATTATTATTTTTTTTATAAATATTAAATTATTATTTATTTTTTTTTACATAATAAATATTAAAAATATTTATATAATGACGTTCAAGATGACTGCGCGAAACAAAAAAAAAATATTAAAAATAAAATTTCAAACAAAAAAATATTTATATAATGACGTTCAAGATGACTGCGCGAAACTAAAAAAAAATATTAAAAATAAAATTTCAAGCAAAAAAAAAATATTTCATGACTCATACAAAAAAAATAATAAAACTATTTATAACACGCCCCCATTAAATGAAAACCCTTGAACATACAAAAAAAATTAAAATTGTTGTTTAATTTAATCTCGGAACTGCGGAGGTATTATCATCTTGGGTTAATTATCATTATTAGTATTATTACTTTCTATGTGCTTTAACTCGAGAATTGCTAAGATATTTATCCCTCTCTCCTCGCCGCATCATGGCTAGATCTCAATCTTTCAGACTCTACTCTCTTCCGTATCTGTTCTACGTGTCTAACTCCTTCCTTTCCGTCCACGAATTTTACTCTCACCATTTTATGCCCCATGTTCTGTATAATTATTCCTGACTCCCATTTTCTGGTACCTCCAAAAATTCTCGCCCATACGGTCTGACCATTCACAAATTCACACTGATTATCCATTGAATTTTCCTCCTGCGCCGGTTTGGGTCTTTAGAAATCCAACTGAATACGAGTTCTACGGCCCAAAAACTTTTCTGCTGGGGACAATTCCTCTCCCTTTCGACTATTGTTATAATACGCAATCGCTATCCAAATCTCTCCACCCCCATATTTCGACTTCCTCAACCAACTCTTTACCACCGCCACCATCCTTTCCGCCTGCCCATTCGAGCTTGGGTGGTAAGGAGGTGCCAAAATGTGTCTCGCCCCAGTTTCAGTACAAAAAACTTTAAATTGTTTACTTATAAAAGCGGGTCCTCCATCCGACACGACTATTTCCGCTACCCCAAACTTTGCCCAAAGATCTTTTAACGTCTTAATTACTACTTGCGTTGTTAACCCCTTTACTTCTTGATACTCTACCCATTTTGAGTAAGCGTCCACTACGAGGAGATATATTTTATTTTCGAAGTCGAAAAAGTCTAAGTGTACTCTTTCCCATGGTTGAGTAGCCCTAGGCCAAATACTTTTCTTGTCCTTTCGAGGCATACTTGCCCATGAATTACACATTTCACAACTTCTCACCATATTCTCGATTTCTTTATTCATGCCAGGCCACCATACGTATTCCCGCCCCCATTGTTTCATTCGTTCCATACCCTGATGTCCAGCATGGATCATTGCCTTTACTGCCTCCCGCAATCTGGACGGCACCACTCCCCGACTTCCTCGTACCACACACTCGTCCACTATCGTTAGCTCTTTCTCCACTTGCTTGAACTTCTTGTCCCCATCTCGCCATTGCTTCCGACCCAATATGCACGCTTTGATTCTCGTCAACTCGCGATCTTTTAAAGTAGCATTTTTGAGTTGTTCCCATGCAACTGGTCCTCCTTTAGATATTCCGACTATCGCTCTAATCAACCCGTGCTCATCCTCTTCATCCATATCTTTCGACCTACTCGTTTCGCAATCCTCTCCCGCTCCACATCTAGAAAGAATATCCGGTAAGTAATTTTCTCTTCCTCGTCGGTATTTCACTTGCACGTCGAAACTGCCTACCAGCAATAGCCATCGCTGCAACCTAGGCGACAACATGAGCTCCTTGTTGTCCTTTCTGAAAAGATGAACCAAGGGCTTGTGATCCGTATATATGACAAATCGACGTCCGATCAAGTATTCCCGACATTTAGTCAATCCAAATATAACCGCTAGCGCTTCTTGCTCGATCACTGAATATCTTGTCTCGGCCTCTCTAAAGATTCTTGAGAAAAATAAAATAGGTCTCTCCAATTCGTCTATACAATGTAATAGCGCTCCACCCACACCCCTATTCGAAGCATCAACGGCCAATATCACTGGCACATCGTTATCAAAACACACTAGTACTGGTTCCCTTCCAATCCTCAATTTCAACTCCTCAAAAGCCTCCTCCTGTTCAATCTTCCATTCAAATCTTTCTCCTTTCTTTAACAATTTATACAACGGCGCCGCTATCTGCGCGAAGCCTTCCACAAAACGGTGATAATAATTCACCATTCCCAAGAAAGCTTGTACTTCCACTTTATTATTAGGCTTCAACATGCTTGTTATATTTGCCATATTTTTGTCTAAAGGTCTGACCTCTTTCCCATTGATTTTATGCCCCAAATATACGATTTCTGATACTCCCAACACACTTTTTTCAACGCTTGCCCGCAATCCTTTATCCTGGATCCTTTTGAACACCTCCTCCAATCTTCGTTCGTGTTGCTCGGGAGTCTTTCCCATCACTAATACGTCATCCATGTAGTAAAATACTCCCTCTAGTCCTTGAAAAACTGCCGCCATCGTTCGTTGAAAAATTGGAGCCGACACGCTAAGTCCAAACGGCAATCTACAGAAGGCATACAATCCCTTCGGAGTCGTGATCGTTAATAGCTTTTGTACCTCGGGTTTCACCTTCAATTGTAAGTAAGCGTTCGAAAAGTCCACCTTTGAAAAATATATGCTACCCTTTAAATTAGCTAATATTTCTTCAATCCTAGGTAACGGATATTTTATCTCCACAACCCACGGGTTTAGCGTGACCCGAAAATCAGCGCATAAACGAAGCTTTCCATTGGCCTTCTTCACGGGTACTAACGGTGTTGCCCATTCGCTATATTCCACTGGACAAACAATGCCCTTCTGCACCCACTGCTCCAATTCCTTGTCTACTTCATTTCGCCATTCGAACGGTATCCGACGTAATGCACAAAACTTGGGCACATATCCCTCCTTTAATTTGATATCCACTTCATAATCTCGGAGACAACCCAACTTCTCATCAAAAATCTCCTTGTAATTTTTCATCAAGTTTCTCACTCCCTCTTGTACTTTGATCATACCAAATATCTCTCTATCCCGCAATTCCCTCTCTTCCCGTCGTCTCGTTTCCTTTCCATCCATTTCCATTTGTTGGCTATGTGTTCCCTTAGTATTTCCTTGTTCCAAATCATCATCTTCTCTAGTCTCTTCTTCTGGCAACATTATTTTCCCATCTGCCAATCTCTCCAGCTCCGCTTCAAACTTTCCTTGATCATGAATTTCTTTCTGTTCTTCAGTATCATTTCTTTCTTCCATTCTCCCAAAGTCGCGACAACTCCTAAAATTCTCTCCAATACCTCCCCTAAAATTCTCCCCAATACCTCCCCTATAGTTCCCCCCAAAACCTCCCTTATAATTTCCCCCGATACCTCCCCTATAGTCCCCCCCGAAACCTCCCTTATAATTTCCCCCGATACCTCCCCTATAGTTCCCCCCGATACCTCCCCTATAATTCTCCCCAATACCTCCCCTATAATTCCCCCCAATATCTCCCCTATAATTCCCCCCGATACCTCCCCTATAATTCTCCCCAATACCTCCCCTAAAATTCCCCCCAATATCTCCCCTATAGTTCCCCCCGATACCTCCCCTATAATTCTCCCCAATACCTCCCCTAATTCCCCCTAATACTCCCCCCAATATCTCCCCTATAATTCCCCCCGATACCTCCCCTATAATTCTCCCCAATACCTCCCCTAAAATTCCCCCCAATATCTCCCCTATAATTCCCCCCGATACCTCCCCTATAGTTCTCCCCAATACCTCCCCTAAAATTCCCCCCAATATCTCCCCTATAATTTTCCCCCGATACCTCCCCTATAATTCTCCCCAATACCTCCCCTAAAATTCCCCCCAATATCTCCCCTATAGTTCCCCCCAAAACCTCCCCTATAGTTCC